CTAAACGTTAAAACCAGCCTCACCCTTTTACAAATCTACTAGGTATTAGGTGCCGACATAAAGAACCCGTCATTTTTACAGGAAATTACAAGCAAAGTATGGCGGGTTCTTTATGTCGGCATCATGAAAACTATACAAATCTAAATAAGAGTCGTTACAATCAAAAAAACATTATGAGTTTTGTATAGTAATGTTCACCAAACTTTTATATCAAAAAGTAATTTTTGGTCTCATGGGTCAGAAAAAGCGACTTTTTATGGTAACAACAACTTTAATATACAAGATGGATGATAACTAAAATTTATTTGATAAATTTGGCGCCACAAAAGGGTAGAGTTCAAAATAGAAGGCCAGACTTCTATTTACAGCGTGCGCCAAAAGTTCTGTTACAAAACTTTACCGGTCGTTTTTCTCTATGTTGCGTTTATTGTGTTTTATAGCGCAAGAGTTTCATAAAAGAAACAGAAGGGCCACATTCAACATAAAATTTTTTTTTATTTAAAAAATTTTATCACCTCCCTCCCCCTCCCCTCTTCTCCACCCCCCCTCTCACTAATAACTCAAAATACCAAAATTTACTTAAGCCGATGACACATTGTACTACAATATCTGCAAGACCTTGAAAAATTTGCGTTTGTTTTCAAAGACCAATTCTTTTAAAGAATGATAAACAGTGCACTCTGGTAAACAAGTTTGTTTTGGTTCTTTTGCAATCTCACTTTTCGCTTTAAAATACTGCAAACAGCAAGTGTAACAACGCGGTAAACACGTGGTTTGCGGTCGGTTTTAAAGGTAATGTCAAGGCTACATGATTGGGGCGCGTGCGGGCGGAATTCCAAGGGATCAGGGAGTTCGTGGCGGGAGTCGGAGCGCGGTGTTTTGGCGGGAAGGGCTGAGTTGATGTGCTGGCGGTCCGATTGTACTTGATAATAGGACGAACGTTTATTTTTATTGTTAGCCTTTAATCTTGTAGGTAAAGAAAAAAAGAGGAGAGAGATAGGATAGTATTACACAGTTCTACCTCTAGCTCTATTTCCAACTCCAGCTCCAGCTCTAGCTCTAGCTTTAACTCTGGCTCTAGCTTTAGCTCTAGCTCTAGCTCTAGCTCTATCCCCAACTCCAGCTTCAGTTCCAGTTCTAGCTCTAGCTTCTGCTTTAACTCCAGCTTCGCTTTTTTAAATTTTGTTTCTAATTTTGCCTCTATGTCTAGCCCCGGCTTTGACTTCATCTCCGCCATTCTTTAAATTTTGGATACGTTTCTAGCTCTGAGCTAACTGGAAACTTGCTCTAGAGCTTTTGGAAACTGATTACAATATGCCTATTTTAAAAATAAAAAACTAGTTTTAAGCTACCTTTTTCTACTGCCATTTTACACATGTAACTAGTCACCGCTTCTATTTATTACAACATTTCAATTCAAACTAGTAAAATTAAGTTACACATACAACTGCATACTACAATACAACATTTATAAAATTTTCAAATATGTGATTAATAATAAAATGTTAAAAGAATTACAATGTACAAAGCACAAACGCCTTTTCTCCAAACTAATCTACAGTCAAGTTCTTAAAAACAGAAAAAATGTATTTTACAACGAAAAAAGTACAATACCTTTAATACAAAGTGAATAAGCACGTTAATGTTGCTTTAGATGTGACTTTTCAAAGTTATGAGTATAGGTATAGGTATTGTTATACTTATATTAAACACGTATAGATGCATCTATCTTTTGCCATCTATAGTTAAAAAGTTACATGTTGATTACAAATTGATTATATTGTTATACTATAAGTATATTATCATATTAACTAAATGAATATATCAGAAGACCTTCTAAATAACCTTCTTCTAACTACATCAATATCAGCCCTCTTACTATGTATATTGTTCTACAAACTCCACGGCAAAGCTCTCTACGTTAGCTCTCAGATTTATGTTACAATAATTCTGCTTTCTATATGTACCACAACGTATACTATAGTAACTGTCGTGTATACAAAAACGACTTTTGGTAAAAACCCAATACTATTGTTTTACTTATCAATATTGCCACCTTTAAGTGAGATATCGCTGACAACTGGAGTCACTTTTGTCATTATCGACCGACTTTTAATTTTTAAATTTGTGGTCGCTAAATTTAAAAAACCTTTGTTGAGATACAGCTTGTTTGCTATAGGATTTTGTGGATCTTTATTTGTTATTGTAGTCTTTTGTGTTCAGAAACCGTATGATCAACTTGTGGGTGAGTGACGTATATTTTACTGTAATACTATGTGCGTACTAAAGCAAATATAATTAATTACTCTTCTGTATAACGAATTCATTAATAATAGGCCTGTAAAAGAGCCGGTCTTAAATTTTTTAGTCCATGCCCATTTTTTGGCCTAGCCCAGAAACCGTGCTTTAGTTCAAGACTCAGCCCTCGGGACTACAATAATAAATTTTTACAAGCCAAATCTTTCTTTCCGGGACCTAAAAACTTAAATGCTGCACCTATAAGGCCTCTATTTTAGCTCTGTCTCTGAAATCGCGCAATCCGGTTTAAGAAGTAAACCAACTTTTAAGCTTAGCCGGCCTTTTTCAAACTTTTTTTGGTACGGGCTCGTTTTGAGACAGGCATAATGGGCTCTTGGTTTGAGTCTCCTTCTGGCCCACGTGTTTCGGCTTGGACCTGCTCTTTTCAAATTTTCTTTGTACTAAGGCTAGGATTAAACATTTACCGGCAAATTACTGGTAAAAGTCTTAAGCCTTATCTATCGCAAGGCCGGATAGAAGCCAAGCCCAGTGTGTTTTTTTTTCAATTCAACAAAAATTTGATTTTACCGTAAAAAGTGTACGGTATGTTATATTTTTTGTTATTTTCAGAATGCACTACATATAGATGTGTAGTCAGTAATTATGGAAAATTGAGTGCGATGGTAAGATGCATTGGAAGTGCTGTAAATATGATACTGTCGCTTGTGGCTGGATTTATGTTCTTTTATTATAGACAAAGTGTGAGTCATAACGTAAGTTTTGGCATTTTAAAAGCATGGTTGCTTACATTTGGGAGCCTTATGACCAGGGCCGGGCGGGGACTTTTGGTCTGAGGGCAGGGGTCCAAAAAATCGGCACAGGTAGCTCTACCTGTGCCGATTTTTTGCGAAAATTTTTTTTCCAAAAATCCACAGGGGGGGGGGACCACGTTCAAATTTTTACAAAAATTTTTTTTTTTGGGTGGGGGGTACTCCCCCCCGTCCCCCCCCTCGCGCCCGGCCCTGCTTATGACCTGGGTTTAAAGCCGGGCTCTTATCAATTTTTCTTTGGCCTGGACCGAGGCCGGACCAAGCTGACGCAATGCCGAGCTGGACCTGATGCAAATTTGTTTGTTAACTTGGCATTGTGTTTCAAGCACTTTTTTCGACTTTCCAGACAAACTACGCTTACAAATTTAAACATGTAGTTTCATTTAAAGGTATTCTACTAGTATATCCAAGAAAATTAATTAAAAGTCAAAAAATGACAAAGTTACAAGCTTGAAACACAATGCCAAATTGGCGAGAAATTCAAAATGTCATTTTTTAATCTCGATTTTCTCGAGCTTTCCTGGAAAGCGCAATTTACACTTTCCTTGTAAGTTGCACATTCAGTCAATCTCAAAAAAATCAAGATCAAAAAATTACATTTTGAACTTCCCGCTAAATTGACATTGTGTTTCAAGCTTATGACTTTGTCATTTCTTGACTTTTAATCTTTTTTCTTCGATATACTAGTAGAAAAACTTTAAATAAAGCTACATTTTTAAATTTGTGAGAATAGCTTGTCTGGAAAGTAACTACCCCAGAAAAAATTTTCGAAAAAATTTGAACGTGGTCCCCCCTGTGGATTATTGGACCCCTGCCCCCAGACCAAAAGTCTCCGCCCGGCCCTGACCTTAAGAACCAGTTGTTATGAAGCTGATACTGTAACTTCAGATGGCTTCCAGCAGAATAAAAAGAGTTGTTTCTAAATTAAGAAGTAATTACAATTCAGGCAATTACTAGTACTTTATGATGTGTTGTTTTACAGAGTAATATGTAAAAGTAGGAAGTACTCCAACAACACCAACAACTTCACTTTTACTACATGTGATTCTCAAAAGAACCTACTACAATGTTGTAGTATGTCGTGTTATTTGGCGGGCTTCCTCTTCCTGCTCTCCTTTCAGAGTGCTATTTAAGATACGTACCTATAGACACATTATAATGTCGTACTTATATATCGTAGACATTAATGGACAAAGTAAGGTACATTATAATAACATGTAATTTAGTCTAATAACCTTACTTCAAAGTTTATTGTAGTATAAATCTACCGTAATGTACAAAACTTGGTGTTTTGGCAAGTGTAATGTAGCGCTTTGAAGTATGTCAACGTTGGGAGTAATGTGATGTTATGTCTTGTTTGTAGGTCGGACTTATCACAATACAATCTTGTTACATATTTTGACGCGTTTGCTCGTGGTTATGACAGAGTAAATTAGTACATTACTTAAATATTGATATCCTTGTGCTCGCGTCTATATTAACAATGTTGAACTAGACATTGCTTCAGCAAAAACACCATTTATTATTAAAAGTTTTTACTGTGAAAGTAGACATCTATTGGTCTGCTTTTTTTAACCTTTTGTTAGACACAACCCTACTTTACATAATCTATCCCGCCTTGCTTTACCCAACCCTGCCCTACTCTACTTTGCCTTGCCCTACCCTACTCTACCCTACCCTGCCCTACCACACCTATTACCTACAGTACTAATACCACCACTATCATTCCCTATGAATCTCATCAGCTACGTAGACAACCTTGTTCTAGTCGTATCACTAACCGCCTTCTCATTATGTGTAGTGTTCTACAAGCTACGCAGACATGCAAGACAAGTAACATACCAAATTCATGTTACCGTAATCCTACTGTTTGTAAATACCATATGTCACGGTTCAGTAACCTTTTTATCAAGCAGAACCGAGTTTGGTAAAATGCCTCAGGTAATAATGATCATCTCAGTTCTACCACCATTAAGTGAGCTTCTACTTACTGTTGGTGTTACGTTCGTCATTATCGACCGATTGTTGATCTTGAAGTTTGTTGTGGCTAAATTTAAAAGACCCTTATTGAAGGTTAGTTTAGTCACATTAATGGTTTGTGGATTATCGTTTGTTGCGGTGGTTTACTGCGTTCAGAAGCCTTATGAAGAAATTCTTGGTGAGTTACAAACAAAACTGCAATGTATGTCTTATATAACGTGCTATAACATCTTGAGTAAGCACTACAGTAAGGCAAAGCCAAAGAAGAGCAACGATAATAAGTAAACTATAGCTAGAATAAGTTACGGTTAGAGTAAAAGAAATTTATTTGCAAATGGAATATATAGTTTATTTGCGAATAATTCATTTGGAATATGTAGAACAACAAAAACGGTTTTTCATTAGATAATAATGATGGTGATAGTCATATTGTCCAGCAAATAAAGTGCGTAATCTTGACGAGGTCCCCGAGCGGTCGCGTTCGTTTAGGCCAGCTGAGTAAAGTTTCTTTCCATCTTCCCGACTGTAGCCTAGCCTCACATTTTGCTTTGTATTGCTCTAGATGCCAACACAATCCAATCACGTCTATATCCTATCTCTTCGCGTTTCTGCGATACTACATACATATGTCAAATTTGACGTATTTGAGACTTCCCTCGAAGTTAGCTAAAGAATGTGGTAAGCAAATCGATCTGTCGTTTAGGGTCACAGGCTTCATACCATCATTCCTCATGAAATAATCACATAGGAATGCTATCGCTACAAAAAGTACTTCCTTATTTCTCGCAACGAAGGGAAAATACACAACCGCTCGCGAAGAACAGCGTTATAATAAAACTTTGAAAAAATAGAGTTAATGAATTAAAAAGTTGGCTTATTAATAACATTACATGTCCAAAATCACACTACTTTGTTTTTAGAATGCAATACGTTTATATGTGTGACTAGCAACTATGTCAGGTTCAGTGCTATGGTAAGATGTGTTTGCAGTGCTATGAACTTGTTACTGTCCGTTCTGGCTGGCTTTATGTTTTTGTATGTTAAAAGAAGTGTCAAACATAAAGTAAGTTTTTATTTTACTGCAATTTTATATTGTAAGCCTAGATATTACATAATAAGTTGTCTCATTATGAATGAGCCAAAATACATTTTTCAAATTTTTGGCGTATTATTAATAGCTTTCATAGTATAACTTGTCGCCTGCAACTTGCTAGCTACTATTACAATATTCTTTTCAGTCCAAACACCCAAAGTACTTTATCTTCGTCCTAGTCAGCAATGAATGTATCATGGGCTTCAGTGTAGCTTCATTTGGCTACATGATATTGAATGAACACAGCACCTTTGGCAACTATGCTGTATTCTTAGGACTTGGCTACAGTTTTGAACATTTGCTTATGATTGTTACCTATTTATTCGCTTTTCGAAGAGCCAGGCATCAAAGTAATGTCATCACCGTCACTTCTATGTCATCAAAGTAGAATATTAAAGTGTTGTTCAAGTGTTTTCCTACTTTCATGGTTTTTAAAGTATAAATGTAAAAAAAGAATATTAAAGTATAAGAGTATGATTGTGTTATAGTAAGTTTCAAAATTTAATGTAAAAAATATTGACCACTTTTTGGGCTATGATATATTATAAGTAAGGCTACAATTAGGTGGGGACTTCCTCCAAAATATGATCATCATTTTTTCTTCACATAGGAATGCTATCGCTACAAACCCTTTTTGGGTTCTCATGAAGAATCACTCCCCAGCAGGTGAATAATAATGCCCCATGGAAATGAGCTACAATCATTCCCCATTTATTCAAATTTTAAAAATTTTTTAAAAATTTTTAATTCTTTCATTTTTGTCGCTGAATTATGGTCGAACGCAGGAGTCTTTCTGATGTCACAGTACAAGAATTATGTTCTATGAACGCCCATGATGTAATTTGTTTGCTCCAAGATCAGGGCATGTTACACAGTAGGATTCCTTGTTCTTCTTATCTTTCCCACAGTATTACTATCATGCCCCACTTGTATTACTATCATGCCCCACCTGTTTTACTATCATGCCCCACTTGTATTACTATCATGCCCCACCTGTTTTCCTATCATGCCCCACCTGTATTACTATCATGCCCCACCTGTATTACTATCATGCCCCACTTGTATTACTATCATGCCCCACCTGTTTTACTATCATGCCCCACTTGTATTACTATCATGCCCCACCTGTTTTACTATCATGCCCCACCTGTATTACTATCATGCCCCACCTGTTTTACTATCATGCCCCACCTGTTTTACTATCATGCCCCACTTGTATTACTATCATGCCCCACCTGTTTTACTATCATTCCCCACTGTATTACTATCATGCCCCACCTGTATTACTATCATGCCCCAAACTTAGAAATCCCTTATTCACTTTCCCATTGCACTTTGAAAGTCTATTCATTATTCAAAATTAGGTTTACACTTTCAAAGTTTATGCAAAAAATCCCTATAAAAGAAACCGATTTCCCCAGAAATCGTCATTCGAGCCAAGGTCCGAGGTCGTCAGCCGGTTCTTCCTCCAGCCCCTCATCGCGCGATGGTCTCACCAGCTCCAACACTTGGGTCGTTGCCTACCCTCACCTGTGCTAAACGTTCTGGACTAGTACAAGTTAAGTTCAACTTAAATTTGTGGGGAATGATTTTGCGCTTGGGGGAATGATTGTAGCTGGGGGAATGATTGTTCATCGGCCCCGATTTTTGATTCTATCTGTGACACTTGACTCCAAGTGTCAACTATCATTCTCTATACTGTTGTATTTTCTCTTTTTTCTTCGACGGGTACAAAATAGCACCTTTTATGATTTCTGGCCCGCAGTTAAGTGATAATTCAGCGAGCCGAGAGCTCTTAGCCAAAGTTTTGCCTTTGGGTCTAGTCCAGACGGTCCGATTTTTTGGATTTATTTTTCCCGGCCGACTCATATATCGAAAACCAGTATAGATATCAACAAACTAGCAGCATCTAGAAGGCTCAGCTCCATTCCAAAGTTTTAGACCGATCTGATCAGCAGAAAAAAAACGCGGAAAAACAGAATTCAAATTCCTGACTCCCGCATTTGGTCCGGTCCGTTAAGAACTCTGCACTTGGACAAGCAATATGTCAAAGGTTGTTGACAATAATTGTTAGTTTCGAGTTATCAAGGAAGAGCTCCCGATGCATCGTCCGCGAGACAGTCGACCCAGTCTAACTTCCGAGTCTCAACCCCGTGGAACAGGACAGAACTTGCTGTAATAGTGAGAAAGATCAAAGAATAGCCATTAGATCCATTCATTGTTTAGTTAGACCTGCAAACTGTAGCTTATGAGCAGAGGAAGAGACTTTAACAATAATAATATATTATTTATTTTGTTTATTGTACAACTAAATAAATTTATACTAACAATCAAAAGCAATGTAACAAAGTTCTTTAAAATTTGTAATAGAAAGTTACAGTGATAACCCTACCTACGCAAATGTTAAATAAGTAAACAAAGGAAGTTTATAAAAATAGTAAAGGTTAAAATAGTATAATTAAAACTCCTTAGTAATTGACGTCTAGATGTTAAATTAAGAACTACGTAGGTTTTGCACAATGTTTATATTTTTGAACGTAAAGTAAAGTATATATTAGCCAGTATGTAATTTTGTATTGTTATGGACGTCTTGATAAACAAAAACATTGTATGCAATTAGGCTAGTATATCAAAGAAAAATAATTCAATGTCATGAAATGACAATGTTATAAGCTTGAAGCACAATGCCAAGTTGGCGGGAAATTCAAAACATAATTTTTTAATTTTGATTTTCTTGAGATTTTCTACAAATCGCAATTTAGTAGTTTGTTGAAGGTCTTAGATTAACATGATCTTTCTATATAAAAAGGATTTTGAGTCAACCAGAGCATGGCCGATCGGGCTTTTTTTCTTATCAGAGCGGATCAGGTCGGGCACTTTGTTTCCTTGTAAGTTATTTTTAAAGTTCAAACGGTTATAGCACTTACACTATGGTGAGTACCAGAGTTCCCACTGGCCCCGGAGCGGCTCCGGCTCTGGAGCTGAAGCTGGAGCTGGAAATTTGAAATTTGGGAACTCTGGTGAGTATAATACAATACCCGTTTATAGTTCCATTGTTCAAGGAAGTTACTACTGTCATTAGAAGTGTCATAGGATGAAAATTTTACCATGTTTACACTGTTGCAATCTACGTTTTCATATCGTAATGGTGGTGTAATTAGTACCTAGCTTCTACCATGTAATTTTACGTGTTGGCAGCCTTTTGTAATATCATGTTTTTATATAATAGTACTTGTAATACTAACTGTCATTTAAAGTCATATCTTTGGCTTAGTATCCTCTTTTTTATTTACTACAGTCTTACAGAGGTCCTATTCTTTCCAGGTAACCTATTCGCTTGCAACAATTCTAACATACGTCTACTTCTTCCTATACATACAGTATGGCAACATTACTATTCCAAATTGGTTCTACTGTATCAATCTTCCTACTTCTGATAAGCTTATACTACTTTTGGAAATACAAAAAGTACTGCTGGCCAAACAAGCTGATAAGCTCTCAAATTCACCTAAGCGTTCTAATAACCCTAATTTCATATGTCATGGCTTATTATATCACCTTCACACCGTTTATACCATTTGGCTCTAAATATCATCGTACTAAAATCATGTTTGCACTAGCTTTGATTCCTTCTATATGTGCTTTTCTAACATCGACCATGAATTTGACTGGTAAGAAAAATAACAACCTATAAGTACTAAATACCTAGCCCTAGTCCAGAGCTCTAACCCACAGCCCTAGCCCTAGCCCTAGCCCTAGCCCTAGCCCTAGCCCTAGCCCTAGCCTTAGCCCTAGCCCTAGCCTTAGCCTTAGCCCTAGCCCTAGCCCTCAGCCCTAGCCCACAGCCCTAGCCCAGAGCCCTAGCCCAAAGCCCTAGCCCTCAGCTCTAGCCCACAGCTCTAGCCCCGAGCGCTAGCCCAGAGCCGTATCCCAGAACTTTAGCCCAGAGCGTTAGTCCGGAGAACCTAGCTGAGAGCACTAATCATGTACCCTAGCCTTGTACCCTGGCTTTGTACCCTAGTTTTGTACTCTAGCTTTGTACCAGAGCCCTCGCCCAGAGGCCTAGCTTTGTACCATAGCTTTTTACTAAAGCCCTAGCCTTGTACCCTGTGTCCTGTACATCAGCCATGTATCCTAACTCCGTACCTTAGCCCTTTACCCTAGTCCTGTACCCTAGTCTTGTATCAGAGCCCTCGCCCAGAGCCCTAGCTTTGTATCTTAGCTTCGCATCCTAGCCATGTATTCTAGTCATGTACCCTAGTCCCGTACCTTAGCCGCGTACTTTAGTCCTGTACTTTAGCAATGTATTCTAGTCCTGTATCCTAGCCCAAGCTCCAGCTCTAACTCTAGCATTCAGAGTTGTTTTAGATTTTTAACTTACTTGTAAAACAAACTTAATTAACTTTTTAGATTGTATCCTTTACTCTTGTATCACGCAAAATCATGCTCTTACATTTGCACGACTTAGATGGTATAACGGAGTGACTAACGTTGTATTATCAATAGTTTTTATTGCCCATTTTGTTTACTTCAAATCAAGAACTTTCGCTACAAAAATTAAAGATTCGGTAAGACCGTTCAACATTTTTTTAAAAATTTTTTAAATTTAAAATGATCAAATTGCAAAATTTTATAAATCTTTTAAATTTAAAATTTTCTCATTTTTTAAATTTTTTTTAAATTGCTAGTTAAATAAAAAAATATTTCAGCAACACAAAATGGTGTTCACAGTGGGAATAATTGTGACAAACGAAGTAATCATTAGTATGATACCAACCACTTTACTCTACTTTACCGGCGCTGATCGACAAACGTTTACCAAAACTTTTAGACCTGTATTTGCGACTGGCTATTGTCTAGAACAAACTTTGCTTATTACAACTTATGTCAAGATGCTCTCTAGGAGAACCAGACTGCAGTCATTTCCAGCTAGGAATAATCTATTTGTGTTTTAATTGTTTTAGTCATTGTGTTGAGAGCTATTGGTCATTGTATTTCTAACACATTTTTTTTAAACTTCCATTCTAACGTCAATCTTGTTGAACCATCTACGTGGACACGTACTCACTAACAAAAATAATTCAAGTAAAATCATAAAGAAGTGATCGATTTTATTATACGTTCTTAGTTTTTGTTTCAGAACTAAAAAAAACTTCAAAAAAATTTTAAAAAAGTATTTTCGGACCAAACTAAAATTTTTCATCCGTACCAATTCAGAACGACAAGGAAAATGCCCGACCTGTCCCGCTCTGATTGACTTCAAACTTTTTATACAGAAAAATCACGTAAATATACGATCATCAGCAAACTACTAAATTGCGCTTTTCAGTCAATCTCGAAAAAATCAAAATCGAAAAATTAAGTTTTGATGTTTCCGCCAAATTGGCATTGTGTTTCAAGCTTATAACTTTGCCATTTTTTTACTTTTAAGAATTTTTCTTTGATGTAACAGTAGAAATTCTTTAAATAAACTTACGTTTTCAAACCTGTAAGCGTAACTTGTATGGAAAGTCAAAAAAAGTCATTGAAACACTATGCCAAGTTTGCCAACTTGGCGGGAAACTCAAATATTTAAAATTTAAAACTCAAAAGCGCGAGCTAAAATTTTTTATAGGTACTATTAGTGGTACAAAGAATTTATTTGAAAATTTTGAGCTGATTTTGAGTGGGGCAAGTTGGGTGCTTTCTTTGTAGAAAAAATAACAATTCAGACAATTACTATTAAATCATGATGTCATGTCGTACAAAGTAGGTACTATTGGTGATACAAAAAATTCATATTGAAATCTTGCGCTGATTCTGATATACTAAAGTTTCGTCATATAAGAGTTCAGAATAGTAATGCACCAAGTCCAATTTTAGTGCATTACTATAATATGTAACTTTTATATGATGTTCACGCGTTTGTCTTCACGTAAACTAAATTACCGGTTAGTAATGGACCCTATATAATTGTATATTATGTAAAACGGTTTAGTAAACGGTTACCGTGTACGTATTTAACGCTGTATAGTGCAACGAAATGGTGTCTTGATACGAAGTAGGACATAGTTTAGGGTGTTTGTATCAAAGTTGTGTACGTAGTCATAATATTTTCAGGGTATAATTAGTAGTTGCTACTGAACGTCTTATTATTTTACATCTTTGTCTATAATAACATGGTTTTATATAGTTGTTCGTCTGTTCAACAGTTACTCTTAGCTAGTGCATTACTTTTGTTTTGGCAATAACTTGTTTTACTTACTACGGTTTCTTACTATAATATACTGCTATTGTAAATATATATCTCACTATATATATAAAACAAGATTTTGATTGATATAGCACATATGTATATTATACCTCAACCTAAAGCCCTCACATAACTATTTACTATGGTAAACCTAATTTTCGCAGTAGGCTCAGCTATCTCAATATTTGTTTTGCCAATAAGTTTCTACAACTTTTACTACTACCTAAACTACTGTTGGTCAAACAAGAATATAAGCCCTCAAATCCACCTCAGTGTGTTAATAGCTCTAGTAGCATATGTTATGGCATACTATATCACATTTACACCATTAATACCATTTCATTCAACTTATCATCGTACTGAGATTATCTTTACATTAGCCTTGACCACATCGATATGTGCTGTGCTTACCTCAACCGGTGTTAGCTTTGTCATCTTGGATCGGATTTTGATACTTTACTTTCCTAGTAATCAACATAAAAATATATTGTTGAAAATCAGTATTTGTGTGGTTACGATTATTGGTTTGGTTATGAGCTGTTATTGCGTTGCTTTTGAGTTTCCGGACGTGGATTTGACTGGTAAGTAAGATAGCCCTAGGTGTAGGCCTATCCACAGCCATAGGCTCAGCCTTAGTCTTAGCAATAGCCTCAACCCCAGCTTTAGCTTCAGCTATTGTTTTAACCCTAGCTTCAGTCCTAGCCTCAGCCTTAGTTTCACGCTTAGCCTCAAGCCTAGTCTTAACCTTAGCCTCAGCCCTTAGCTACAGCTTTTAGACTGGTCTGTTATATTCAACTGTTAACCTCTGCCTATAGCCTCAGACCTAGCCTGAGCCCTAGCCTTGACTCTAGCGTCAGTTTTAGCCACAGCCTACGCTTTATTGTGAGCTTTAGAATTAGCCTCAACTTGAGACTTAGGCTTAGCCACAGCCTTAACTTCAGGCTTAGCTCCAAAATTAGCCTCAGTTTTAGCCTCAGGCTTAGCCTCAAGCTTAGCCTCAGCTCAAGCCTTAGCTCCGCTTTCAGTTACAGCCTCAGCCTTAGTCTTAGCCTCGGCCACAGCCCTGTTCTTAGCCACAGCTTCAGTTCATGGCTTTGCTTCACGCTTACACCTACTACTTTTTGTTTTTAAAATATTAAAGCAAGTTTTTCAGAATGTGTTATCTACTCTTGTTTGACAGAAAACCATGCTTTTACATTTGCACGGATTAGATGGTATAACGGCGTGATTAATGTTGCGTTGTCAATGATTTTTATTGTTCAGTTTGTTTATTTCAAGTCCAAAACAACTGCTAATAATATTAAGGATTCGGTAAGATTTTTTTTCATAAATTTAAAACTGAAATTTACAATATTATAAAAGAAGAATATAGAAAATACTTTTACAGCAATACAAGATGGTATTCACAATATTAATAATATTGATAAACGAAGTTATTGTTAGTATGATACCAACAACCTTAATTTACTTTACGGTGGTAGATCACCAGACTTATAACCAGTCGTTTAGCCCTTTATTTACTACTGGTTATTGCGTGGAACAAGCTTTGCTCATTTCGACCTATGTCAAGACGCTCTCTAGGAGAACAAGGGTAGGTACAAACACCTTCTTCAGCTAAGAATAATCATTTTGCTTTTTAATTTTATATTAAAGTTTTACATGTCATTTGAGTACTGTAATTGTACAAAAAATTGACTAAAAATTTATTGTTGCTTTAGGGTTAAGACTGGAAATAAGCTTAATGTAAGATACGGAAGATAATAAGATGGCAGTTCAGAGTTGGACAGAACTAGAGCAAGACATAGCAGAGAATAGCATACAAAAGAGAGCTAAGACGTTACCTTCAGCTAAAACTAGGACTAACGGCTAGAGCTTTAGGTTAAGGGTCTGAGGTAGGATTCAGAGTTAGGGTCCTGGACTAAGATTAGGCCTAAACCTAGAGCTAAAGCTAAAGCTAAGGTTCTAGATTGGGTCTTTCTCCTCATCCCTAACCTTAACTCAAAGCCCTCGTCTAGAGCTCTAGCCCCTCACTTAGCTTTAACTTTAGCTCTAGCCTCAGCCCTAGCCTTTCAGTCCAGATTCTCAGCCTCAACATTGGTCTCAGCCTTGGCTTCAGCATCAGCACTAGTCTCATTTCTAACTAATCTTATTTTCTTCAAAACAAACTTCATACTCGTCATAATAAAGTACTTTATTTACAATTTAATAGTAGAATCTTTGTTGCAAGCTGCAACAGAAGTGGTTCGATGTTTCGGCATTCTGGAGAAGGCTCTAACATAAGTTCCGAGAAGTAATGTCTCTTCAAAACAGAACGCTAAAGTAAGGAAGGGTACCAAGTGGAAGTTGTATGAATGGGCAGCAGCATTGAAGAACACTATAGCCACAGGTGCTAAACAGAAGATGGATTCACTTAGCACGAATATTGATATTGACCAGAGAATTCGGTATTGCTGAAAATAATCAGTATAAAAAGTAAAAAAATTTTTTTTAAGAAAATTTTTAAATTTTAAAAATTTTTGGGTAGTAAAAACTCTTACCGTCTCTTTGATGCTACTTTTATTCTTGTATTGATAAAATGAAGCAGCAAAAATGATGGTCAATATAAAGTTCAGTAACGCCAAATGCCATCGTATCCCAGTCATTACCAGAGCATGGGATTTGGAAACGCACGAGTAGAGAAAACAACCTGAACCTTGTTATTAGCACAGTAATGTGAATTTGTAAAACCAAATTATTATTTTTATAGTTTCTGCCGACATACTAAGCCCAGACTAGACCAAAACAAATTTGAAAAAAAAACCGGGCCGGATTGTGAGGATTTAAAGACCAAACTTAAAATAAATGCCTCAAAGTTCCTTTGGGTCCTGCAACGAAAGATTTAATTTGCAAAAACTGGCCAAAGCATGTGAACCATTAGGCCGGGCTCAAGCCAACGGTACAGTGAGAATATCTTTAGCATACTGTAACTTTTTTTTCAAAAACAATTCTTCTTTTAGATACTATAATATAGTATAACACTTACTGGTAGTATCATTAGGTGGCATATCAAACAAAATCGAATAAACCACTATAAAGCTAGCCAAACCAATAAACACTAAAATGGCAACCTTAAACAAAACCGTCTTATATTCAGCATTCGGGTAGTAAATAATCAAGATACGATCCAAAATGACCACACTAACACTAGCTGTCATTAAAGTACTAGTCATCGCAGCAGGTAATGCGAATGAATATACTAAGATTGAATTATGGTACTCAGAAGCAAATGGTATTAATGGTCCAATAGCTATAGAATACTGTGTAGATGCGTTGCACATGGTAACTACAACGCTAAGATGGATAAGTTTACTGATCTGTTTGTTCTTCCAACAGGTCTTCATGTAGACATAGAAGAAGTAATTGCTTAAGAGAATACATACTACTGATAGTACTCGTGCTATTGTTACTGGTATATGAATGTCTTTCATCGTTGCGTTATTGTTGGACATATTCGCTTAATATTGAGGTAGGAAAATAGTTGTGGATAAGCTAAAAAGGCAAAAAAATAATTAAATTGATGTTATATAAATAGCTTTATTATGTTATATATTTATTGTAGCGACCGAAGATTTTTATATTATAAAAACAAACGCTTGTATAAGGTGAACAACTAGCAAAACTAAAGTTACAGTAGGATAAAGCTTCGTTAGTATGTAGATCCAAGCCACGTTTATGGTTTCGGCTAAAGTAGGGCTGAAGCAGGCATTGAGTAGATCTAAGGAAGAAATATATTACGAATAGAGGGAGGCTATGGTAGGATTAAAGTTAGACGACAATAAGGCTAATAGAGCGCTAAGTAAAGGGCTAATATATGGTAAAATAAAGCCAGCAACAAAATGGAGAAAAGCTAGAGTAGAACTGGAGATCAGGCTGAACTAGGGGGGCTAACAATAACGTAGAGCTAAGACAGGGTTATGGTATGGTTAGGTTACGGCTAGTGTAAAGTAACAACAGGGTAGGATAAAGCAAGGGTAAGGCTAGAAGAGACTTTAGATTAAGAATAGAGCCAACGCAAAGCTAAAATTAGGATAGTGCGGGAACAGTCTTAAGACAGAGTACAATAGATCTGGTTCAGCTAGAATAGTCTAAAGCAGTTGTCTTAAACTATTCATAAATAAAAGAAACAAATAAACAAAAAAAATTATTTTATTATAATATATTTAAAATACCAATAGTAAGAAACCCAAAACACCGTCTGCCATTTCTTGCGGCTAAATAGAAACTTCCTAAGACTATAAAGAAAGAAGGCATGCATTTAATTTTTCAATCTTACAATTATGCTTAACAGACAGTTACGTATGGCTAGTAATGTCAACATGCGACGCGCAAAATTATGTCTGAAAGTATACGATAGTAAATTTGAAGATAAATAATAGGCATAAACATTAATTGAAGGTTATTTATAACATTCAAGACGTCAAGGACAAGCATTACATCCTGAGTTTACGCTTTACGTACTATGACGTACTATAGTAAGTTACATTTAACTGACTATAACGTACTATAGTAAGTTACATTTAACTGACTATAACGTACTATAGTAAGTTACATTTAACTGACTATAACGTACTATAGTAAGTTACATTTAACTGACTATAACGTACTATAGTAAGTTACATTTAACTGACTATAACGTACTATAGTAAGTTACATTTAACTGACTATAACATACTATAGTAAGTTACATTTAACTGACTATAACGTACTATAGTAAAGTCAAACGTTTTGACATTACTATGGTAAATAACTTGGGGTAATGTTAGGTGTACTGTGTAGTTAAAGTAGTTTAAATACCACGTTTATATACCGTGTCTTCGGGTATGAAAAATGTGATAATAAGACTGAGGAAGTGGTTAAGTAAGCCATTATTAGAATACGTTTTAGTAAATACAACATTAAAGTAAGCCCTGCAGATAAGCCATGTTGAACCATGTTAAGAGAACATATGTCTCTACATTAACTAATATACTTCTTACAAACTTGCAATTATGATACGTCTACTAAACAAAAGAAAAACATAAGAAGTTAAGGTTGATGTAATAATAACGGAAATTTAATTATCAGTATCAAATACCCAAAAAAAATTAAAACATTAACTAAGAGTACTGAAGTACATTGAACAAGGAAGCTTTACACAGTAATTTTTAGTTTTTTATACGTAAATTTTGAACTTTATTTTAAATAATTGAAGACAATAAATGTAATTGTGTATAATAAATGTATAGTTAGTCGTTGATGTCATGTTTTATTATAGATTTCAAATTACTGGCTTTAGGAATGTCTGTTTTAGCTTGAAGGTCATTAGTTATTAGTTGATCAATAAAAAATTGCCTTGACAGAAGTAGTAAGGTCGATTAAAATAGAACTATATAAACAAAATTAAAGGATTAAACAAAAACTAGACTAAAGTCAATCTGGAATAAAAAAAAGCTAGACTAAAACATAACAGAAATAGAGGTAGGCTTAGGTACAGCTAGGTTAGGATAGTGTAGGGTACGGTAAAGTAAGGTATATTAAAGAAAGAACAAATGCAAAGCAAAGGCAGCGCAAAGACAGGACAAAGGCAGGGCAAAGGCAGGGCAAAGGCAGAGCAAAGGCAGGGCAAAGGCAGGGCAAAGGCAGGGCAAAGGCAGAGCAAAGGCAGGGCAAAGGCAGGGCAAAGGCAGGGCAAAGGCAGGGCAAAGGCAGGGCAAAGGCAGGGCAAAGGCAGGGCAAAGGCAGGGCAAAGGCAGGGCAAAGGCAGGGCAAAGGCAGGGCAAAGGCAGGGCAAAGGCAGGGCAAAGCAGGGCAAAGCAGGGCAAAGGCAGGGCAAAGGCAGGGCATGGCATTATAAACGATCTACTTGATCTTTTTCAATATTCACCTAATACGCATACCAAAACATGTGTAACAAGTATTACATGTGTTGATTGACACTTTATTTTTAATTAAAATTTATAAAACTAATTCTTCTCAATAACTTATGACACATAGTGTCAATACCTGCTACACAATCTTGCTTTATTAGTTTTCAGCGACCAATACCAATATTACTATACTCTATTACAAAACCAATTTGACATGCCAATACAATGCCATTAGCACAAACACTATACTTTTCGAGCTGTCATCTTTTGCTATGGCACCTATATGGGTGATATGTCACTGCCTTGAAGTCCTACTGCTACTAATAAGCTCTTTTCTTGTCTATCTATACCTGAAATTTTGTTGGCGAAATCGTCGTATCAGCAAGCAAGTCCACCTCAACGTAGTTTTAGTGATGTTTTCATTAATTTTTGGGTACTACTTTGCCTTTGCCCATCTGATACCATTTGTACCACAATATCGACCAACTTGGCTTATGTTCTACGTTTCACTTGGTGCTCCGGTAACAATGTCATTAATGTCATTAGGAGTTAGCTTTGTCGTTGTAGACTGTATATTGATTTTGTGGTATCCTTCCGGGCGTTATAAAGACGAATTGTTTGGTACAAGTATTGTTTTTGTTGTCTTATCAGCTGGTATTATGTTGTGGTACCCGACTGTGTACCTATATCCTGATGGTGAAATGACCGGTAAGGTGTTATACGATTGGGAGAGAGAAAGAGATTTTTTATAATACAGGTTTGAAAAATGTTTAAAACGGTATCCATATCAATTTCAGAATGCTTCACCTTTGGTTGTATAGCCAATGGCAAAGCTGGCGTTTACTACAATATACGGTTAACAGCTGGCATAATCAACATTATACTGGTCATTATCTTCACTGTATCTTATGTTATTTACAGTTCAAAAAGCAGCTTTTTCGCTGCTCGGGCTGCTGATATGGTAATTCTTTAGAGGTTGCATTTATTAAGTGCCGACATAAAGAACCCACCATACTTTTAATGTAATTTCCGGTAAAAAATGGCGGGTTCTTTATGTTGGTACCTAATAGAATTACATGTATATGTATTACAGCTTTATCAGTAAATTTGCATTCGTTATCATTTATTTTTTTTTCGTTATCAGTAAATTTTTTTTTGGGTTTTAAGCCATATCCGGCTGTTTTTATATTAGGTTGAACCAAAAGTAGTAAGACACTTTTTAATTTAAAAATAAACCAAAAATGTCTCGCTACTTTCTGTTCATCCTAATCAATAGTTGCTAATGTTACAGAACTTTACATTATGATATTTTTTCTTCAGAACTCAAGGATGCTACGTTCAGTGACAATAATCGTGACAAATGAGATATTAATCAGCGCCATTCCTCAAGCATTTCCTTTGTTCAGAAGTTATGCTGGACAGAAAGGAATCTCACCGCTTTATGGTGCCCTGTTTTGTTTCGAACATTCGATATTATTGGCCAGTTATGTGCGAGCTTTTTGGAAACGACCAAAAAGAACTTCTACTAGAGTTACTAGTGTTACTACTACTTACAAGTAAAATAGTTGAATAAACTTACAACTACTTAAAAAACTTTAATGAAAGTTCACAGCCTAAGCGAATAAAAAGCAGTGCCCTGGTCTTAGGTTTAGCCTAGAGTCCTAGAGCCTAGAGCCTAGAACCTAGAGCCTAGAGCCTAGAGCCTAGAGCCTAGAGCCTAGAGCCTAGAGCCTAGAGCCTAGAGCCTAGAGCCTAGAGCCTAGAGCCTAGAGCCTAGAGCCTAGAGCCTAGAGCCTAGAGCCTGGAGCCTAGAGTTTTAGTTTAGATCCCCAGCCTTAGCTTTGCACTTAGTTCTACCCTACACTACTTTGCCATGTCATATGTAATGTAACCTAAATTTTAAAAAAATTGATAAATAAATTTTTTTTATTTTGTATTTTTGCATACTATAATACCTACTGTAGTGTAATCGTTTTATTAATCCATCATTAGCTCATGCCCTTGAACCTAAAACTGCTATTCCTAAAGCCAGTAATTTGAAATTTATAACAAGGCATGACATCAATCACTAACTAAACATCTATTATACTCACCCTCGTACTTTGTTAGCATTTAAAATAAAGTTTAAAATTTGCGTATTAAAAATCAAAAATTACTGTGTAAAACTTCCTTGTCCGATGTACTTCATTAACCTTAGGTAATGTTTTAATTTTTGACACTTTGATACTTATAATTAAGTTTTTGTCAATAATTACGTTAATTTAATTTTTTTTTGTTTTTTGTTTGTTCAGTAGACATACTATACTTGTAAGATGATAAGAAGTGTAGATTTTGTTGTAAGGGTTACTTTACCTTACGATTATTTCTTTTTTAACATTTTCCATTGTTGTTCTACATATTATACTACTATAAAGACCTGGGCTTTTATATGTATAATAAACGTTTATATAAATTTATTGATACCAACATATGCTTTTATATTGTACAGAAGGAAAGCTATGTCTTTTTATTTTACCCTGTTTTACCATGCCTTTTCTACCCTACTCACCTATTTTACTTTACTTTTTTTTTAAAAAAGCATTTTGTAAACCAAGCAGAAAATATTTTTTACTTCCCTTCCTTCCCTAGACATACCATAATACCGGACCACCGTAATACAAAGAGGAAACATACCGTATTACCGGACCGGGCCTGGGGGTTGAGCCCTGCCCGCAAGCTGGGCCTGAATATTAAGTACGAATTGAAGTTTTGCTCAGATCCAGCCAGGCTCGGCCCGAATTTTTTTGCTTACAGACGAGCCGAGCTTCTCTAGGCTTTGCCGACAAGACTGGGCCTTGGTTTTCGGGCCCAGCCCAACCTTAATTTTGCTCAGGTCTGCCCGTTACTCGTGTATACCCTTCATTTCAGACTATAAGTTTCCGTTTAGCACTTCTCTCTAGACACGGGGAACGAGCCAGGCTTGAGCAAGACTTAGATCGAGCCGGGCTTAACCTTTAAGCCCAGCTTAAGGGCCAGGTTTAAAAAACGGGCCCGGCTTGGTCCGTTTCCCATATCTACTGCTCTCTAACCTTCTCCCTATCTAACCCTACACTTTCTAAGAACTTTCAGTTTAAATTAACTGTATGTATTTGTAAACAAAATACCTTTAAAAACCTGCCAATTATGTTTACATTCTAAATGCCAAAACATATATTACATCTTGTTTAAACATGGCCTACGATAGCTTACTCACAGAGCTAACTTAAATATTGTATTTACCACAACATCTTCTAAAAATAACTTGTTTAACCACTTCCTCAACCTGTTTGTCACATAGTCCATACCCAAAACATGACATAAACTTAGTAATTACATTACCGTAAATACAAAGAACACTTGACATTACCTCGGATTATATACTACAGTAATATGAAACTTAACGTTTGATTCTTTACTTCTTGTTGTTGTCATCTTGAATGTTACATCTCTTCTCAATTACTGTTTATGCTGGGTATCTTGAAAGTTACTGTCATCTACTGACAGGCTCTGTTTTGCGCGTTGTATCTTGACATTACTAATCATACGTAACTGTCTGTTAACTATAATTGTATGATTGAGATGATAAATGCATGTCTTTTTTTCTTAGTGGTATGGTGTATTTCCGACCAGGCAGTAAGAAATGACGGGGTTTTTAGTCTGATATTAATATATTTTAAAAATTTTATTAAATTTTGAGGTAAGGAGAGGGTGGATGTACTTTTTTTTTAAATTTTTATAAGAAGTTTGTTAATAATATCTCTTAAATCCGCTTCTTTAGCTTATTCTTAAAAATTTTTTTAATTGCATAATAGAATTGAACCTAGCTCTACTCTAGCTCTGGTCAAGCCTTATTCTATAAGGTTGAATTAAAAGTATCGGGGCACTTTTTAGTTGAAAAATACATGAAAATGACTCTTTACTTTTGGTTGAGTGTAATAGCTTAATTGTACCTTATGGCCTTATTTAAACCCTATCCTAATCCTGTCCTATTTCTACCCTATGTCAAACTACAAATATAACTAAAACAACAATTAACAATAGTAACATATAGTACTAGCACTTATAGTCAATCGGTTTCGAAGTGTATTCGTAGCGATCGTACTTTATCTAACTAGCTTTACTGTTATTAATCTACTTGAATCAAAACCGTATTTTAGCTTTACCCGAGCCCAAGCCATAACATGGCAAGATTTATTCTACTCTTCCTAGTCCTACCTTAGCTCAGACCATAAACTTTGAATTGGCACTACCTAAAATTTAGCTTAATTTCACGTTACTTCCGTTCTTGCTTTTACCTTATATCAGCTCTTGCCTTTGATAACATAGTTCTTTTCTGTTCTTCTACTGACCTTTCTTTCATACCATAATATATCGCGTTACTACAGTGAACATATAACATGTTTTTAATAATAAAATGTAAAACATATTATATGATAAAGCCAATTTATATAAACTTAGCTAACTTTTTGCTTTTTTAGCTCATCTTCAACCATTTTCCTACCTCAATATTAAGCAAAAATGTCCAACAGTACCTTACCAACAGAAGACAATCAAATACCGGTAAAAATAGCACGAGTACTATCAGTAGTATGTGTCTTCTTCAGCGCATACTTCTTCTTTGTCTACGTGAAGACCTGTTGGCACAACAAACAGATCAGTAAACTTATCCATGTTAGCGTCGTAGTCACCATGTGCAACGCAATAGCAATGTCGTTTGTCGCTATTGGACCATTAATACCATTCGATTCGGAGTACCATAACTCTGCCATAGTATTTTCATTTGCTTTACCTGCTGCGACGACTAGTAACTTGATGACAGCTAGTGTTAGTGTGGTTATTTTGGATCGTATCTTGATCATATACTATCCAAATGGCAAGTATAAGACGGTTTTGTTCAAGGCTGCCATTTTAGTATTTATCTGTTTGGCTAGTTTTATCGTAGTTCATTCGACTTTGTTTGATATGCCACCTAATGATACTACCAGTAAGTGTTATATTATATAATAGTATATAAAAATTTTTTTTAAAAAAAAAGTTACAGTATGCCAGAGATATTCTTACTGTACTTTTGGTTTGAGCCCGGCCCAATGGTTCACATTTTTGGCCGGTTTTGCAAAATCAAATTTTTCGTTGTGGGACCAAAACGAAACTTTGAACCATTTCTTTAAGCTTGGTCTTTATGCCCTCACGATCCAGCCAGGCCTCTTTCAAACTTATTTAGGTCTAGTTTAGGCTTAATGGGTCGAAAATAACTCTAAAAAATACTAATAATAACAAGGTTTAGATTGCTTTCTCTACTCGTGCGTTTCCAAATCACATGCCCTGGTAACGACTGGGATACGGTGGCATTTGGGCTTAGTCAACTTTATATTGACAGCCATTTTTGCTGCTTCGTTTTGTCGATACAAGAATAAAAGTAACATCAAAGAGACGGTAAGAGTTTTTACTATTTAAATTTTTTTTAAATTAAATTTATTTAAATGTAAATTTATTTTGAAATTTAAAATATTTTTAAATTGATTATTTTTAGCACTCCCGAATCCTCTGCTCAATATTAGTATTCGTGCTCAGTGAAACCGTCTTCTGTTTAACACCTGTGGCTATAGTGTTCTTCAATGCTGCTGCCCATTCGTACAAATTCCACTTGGTACCCTTCCTCACTTTGGCATTTTGTTTTGAAGAGACATTACTCCTTGGAACGTATGTTAGAGCTTTTTGCAAAATGCCAAAACATCGAATCACGTCTGTCACACCTTACAACAAAGATACTACTGTCAAATTGTAAATAAATTAGCTTATAAACTATGATGGGTATTGCGTTCGTGTTGAAGAAAATAAGGTTAATTAGGGCTGAGGCTAGGGCTAGAGATAAGGCTGAGAAGTTAAGGCTGAGGGGCTAGAACTGAAAAGCTAGGAATGGAAAGCTAAGGCTGAAGAGCTACGGCTAAGAGACTATGGCTAGACATAGAGAAGAGACCCGGTCTGACTGTTAGGCTCGACTTGTTCCCCACGTCTAGCTAGGGCTAAGGGGCTAGCCCAGAAAAGCTAGAACAGAGGCTAGGGCTAAAACTAAAGCTAGGAATAGGTCTAGGGCAGAGAAGCTAGGGCTGAAAAGCTAAGGCTCAGGGACTAGGACTGAGGGGCTAAGACTGAGGGGCTCGGGCTGAAAAGCTAAGGCTGAAGAGCTACGGCTAAGACATTAGGGCTGGGGCTAAGAGGTTGGAGTAAGAGAATAGAGCTGAAGGGCTATTCCGGAATTTTCAGGCCCGGCCCGACTTAAATCTTGCTCAGGCCGGCCTGTTCCCATGTCTAGCTAGGGCTGAGGGGATAGGATGAGCGGCTAGAGCTAAAGCTATGGCTAAGGGTTATGACTAATTAAATAAGTTGAACTTATTAAGTATAATTATTAGACAGTCAAACCCAAAATAATATATGTGATATCAATAATAACACTAATGATATGTAACATAAGGTTTAGATATTACAGTAAGCGGTAACAATGAGACTAAAACTATGCATCAAAGTAAAATCAATAGCTAATATTAGGTTGAACCAAAATTAGCAAGACACTTTGCACTTATTTTTCAGTTAAAGAGTGTCCCGCTACTTTTAGTACAGCCTAATATATTCTTTTCTTTACTTCAAAGCTACTGGTTTTATAGTATTAGGCTTGTAATGGCAAGATCTAGCATTGATATATATTTTAGGTAAGGTATAGTAAAGACAGAAAGACATGATGAATATTAAGTTTTTATAGTTGTTTACCTGTCAATTTTTATGCTAGGTTAAATGAGTTATTGTCAAAAGTAATTTCATATTCTTAACTGCTCTAGGTAGGCTTAAAAAGTGTTGTTAACCATTGTAGTACCATCTTCTGTTTGCGTCGGTACCATTTTTAAACTTAAAGCAGGTTTTTAGATTAGACAGTACTACTGGTACCATTCCTATATTAAATAGTACCACTTAAACAAAAAGTAATACCAATAACAATATTATGACCTATTCTAATGCCTAACACTATCACTACTCAAAATAGTGACAGTACTCAACTCATCCTGCCTTCTGCCAATCACAAACCCATATATCAATGACAATATAAACACAATCCCAAGAGTACAATGATAAATGGCATAGACTACAAACTGGTCCCGGACTGGTAGACCAAGTCCTCTCGTGTCCACAAATATCAATGTCATTACGGTTTGAACCACCAATGCGACAAAGGTATTGATTCCAAATACAAAGCCACAGGACGAGGCTACTGCCATTGTTTTTACTAGGTTTATCCTGAAAATAGTAGAGTAGGGTATAGTAGAAGATGTCAGGGCAAAGGCAAGGCGAAGGCAAGACAAGGCAAGGAAAGGCAAGGCAAGGCAAGGCAAGGCAAGGCAAGGCAAGGCAAGGCAAGGCAAGGCAAGGCAAGGCAAGGCAAGGCAAGGCAAGGCAAGGCAAATCAGAGCAAAATTTCAAAATAACTCACTGAGCAATAGTGATAGTGCACTGATAAACCAATTGAAATCCAGCATAAGTCACATACATGACCCACAGTAGCTTTGTCTGTGACATTGTATACAGTAGTCCAGCTTGAATTATCGACCCCAAAACAAGCGAACTCTCTCCCCACTTTAGCCAATTGATTGGCAGTCTTTCCATGCCCAATATACTGAGTAACGCTAGTAATGGTACGATGGCAGTGACGAAGCCGTTCAGGAGGTCTGGGCTCTTTACGGATTGGACTTGCGACCATAGGGCTTGACTGTAGTTTAACATCTGAAAATTGTATGTATGTTAGGGTAGGGTAGAGTAGGGTAGGGTAGGGTAGGGTAGGGTAGGGTAGGGTAGGGTAGGGTAGGGTAGGGTAGGGTAGAGTAGGGTAGAGTAGGGTAGGGTAGGGTAGGGTAGTGTAGGGTAGGGTAGGGTAGGGTAGGGTAGGGTAGGGTAGGGTAGGGTAGGGTAGGGTAGGGTAGGGTAGGGTAGGGTAGGGTAGGGTAGGGTAGGGTAGGGTAGGGTAGGGTAGGGTAGGGTAAAGTAGGGTAACTTACAAAGAACTCGCCACAAGTGGAGAAAGCCCACCAAACGGACCACTTGACCGTCTTCATGTTTCGAAAAGACTCTTTGAATCGCTGCTTCAGTTTATACATACGATCCATGAAAAATTGCCAGTAGGACTCGATTCGCAGCGATCCTAAATGGCATTTTAAAATTTTTTTAAAAATATTTTTTTAAAATTTAAAAAAAAATTTCGTGTTAGAAATAGGTCAAAGTTGCCAAAAATCTTCAACTTTCTACAAATTTTTTGACCCAAAATAAAAATTTTTTTAAAAATTTAAAAAAACTTTATACAATTTAAAAATGACATGTCCAACCATAAAAACCCCCTTCTTTTAACCACAAACACCTAAAAATGTCACCTACCAGCGCACGGTTCCACCGCGATGACATGTCTCCAAGACAAGTTGGGCAAAAACAATGAGAATAAAAAGGCCAAACTCAAGGATACAAGTGTAATGTAGTTCAAAGTACTCACTGTACCCCAGTGAAACAGTAAAATCGGCTCTGAACTCATGTAACCCAGAAATTGACCACCTTGAAGGGCGGCTCGGGTCATGGCGGTCACTCTGAAAAATATGTCATAACTTTTTGATAACTGATAGGATTGGGTTGGAAGTTATTTTTTAGGTACAAAATACTATGGTTAACATATTGAAAAAATTTTGGTATTTAAGAAAATCGATCGTAAAAACTTATAGCCCCAAAATTTCGGCTAAACTTTCTTTCAACCCAAAAAAGTTGAGATTACGGTAGGTTACTGTAAATTTCAAGTAAAAATTTTATAATATTATACTCAGCATAGTGAATCGCCTATGAAACGGTGGTTTTATCTTTTAATATAACAGACCTTAGGCAACGCTTTTAAATATTCTACTATAAGTTACCTTTGAAAGCACGTTTAGCACTGTAACGCACGTTTTAGGTCAAAATATTCAAAAATCTTTAATCGTAATTTTTATCTAACTTGTAGGATAAATTTTAGCCAAAAATATTTTTATTAATTTTTTCCGACCTGCGCCCTGACTTAGAAACTAAAAGTTGAAGTAGGTCTAGAAAGAGGTTGAAGAAACGTGCAAATAGACCTAAAATAAACCTAATGTTATAAAAAGTGTCAAAATATAAAAAACTCACACTTTGTAATGCTTTTTATCGACTAACATGTAAACAAAGGCAAAGTATGCCATTTCAGTCGATGTTGCCAGTCCATAACACACCTCTGCCATCTGTTGAGTAAACACATCTTTACCCACTATCAAGAACGTCCACGTTCCAATAAATGCCACACTTTCCAATATCAAAACTGGCTTATACAGTAAAGCATCAGTAAATAGTAATATAGGTATGATGGTTAACATAAAGCTGTACGTCCAGATCGGATAGACACGTCCATTAAGGTCAGCATCACTCAGCTTGAGGTAGTCGTGTTGGTACTTGTATAGGTATGGTTCTGATGGTCGTAGTTCTTTTAGACAGCCGTAACCACATAATAGAAAAGTGGTCAGCTTCCAGTTCATTGCATTGCTTGAAGATGTACATAGTATGTTACGTAGAAACGACATTTTTATGGTAAAATACGTAAATCGGACTGTATAAGGAAAATTATACTAAATTGGTTTTAACAAGGTTTTAGAAAAATTAATAGTAAAATTAATGTAGAATACTTAAAATATCTTCAGAATCTGAAATAACATCGAATTCTTAACGGAAACGTGATGTAAAATAGTTCAAGTAGCAATAAATTCCAAAACTTAAGTAAATTTAGCTGGTGTTTAATATTATTTTAAATTTAGAGGTCAGTATCTGTGTAGTTCAGCCTTGAAACATTCGAAACTAAGCATAATCAGCTTCAAAATCATATGTAGATAACTTCAAAACATAGTAAATACCCGGTTTTCCAATAATTTGCCTTTGACTTCAATATTTTAGCGTCTAAACTCAATATTTTAGCTTTTAAACTCAATATTTCAGCTTTAAATATTCGAAACTATAACATAATTAGCTTCAAAATCACAGATAATTAGCTTCAGAACCTAGTAAATATCCTGTTTTTCCAATATTTTAGCTTCTAAACACAATATTTTCGTATTTTAGCCCTTAAAATCAGTTGATATTACTAAAGTTTAACTTCAAGGTCCAATAAACATCTTAACATTCCAATATTTTAGCTTTTAACTTGAATATTTTAGCTTCTAACCTCAATATTTTAGTTTCCAAACTCAATATTCTAGCTTCCAAACTCAATATTTACGTATTTTAACCTTTAGAATTAACCGAAATTACCAAATCTTAGCTTCAAAGTCCAGTAAATACCTTAGCATTCCAATATTTTGACCTCAAAGTCCAGTAAATATTAGTATAGATCAATAACTAGCCGTTGAATCAGCAGAAACCAGCAAAAACCCAAAAGTTTGGGGGTTTTAATAAAATTTCGAAACGAATTTCGAACGGATTTGAATCAAAACAAACGCTTAAAAGTCTGTTAAATAAACATGGAGAATATAAAAGTCGAGAGAGTAAAAGAGATCCAAAAAATGGGTTTTAAAGAGTGTAACAACTACTGTCTAATTAATAATTACCCAAAAAAGTTCGAAGAGAGTACAATTTATTTAGGTTTTGTAGGTATAAAAGGGTGTTTCTTAGGTAATGAGGAATGAGAGAGAGTAGATAAAGTAAAATAAGGTAGTATAAGACAGAACAGGGTGGAGTAGGAGAAGGAGAAGAAAGAGAAGATAACAGGAAAAAGGGGATGGAAATAAAAAAAAAGGAAAAACCATACCATACCCTACCATACCCTACCATACCCTATCATACCCTACCCTACGCTACCGTACTCTACCCTACCCTACCCTACCCTACTCTACCCTACCCTACACTACCCTACCCTACCCTACCCTACCCTACCCTACCCTACCCTACCCTACCCTACCCTACCCTACCCTACCCTACCCTACCCTACCCTACCCTACCCTACCCTGCCCTACCCTGCCCTACCCTACCCTACCCTACCCTGCCCTACCCTACCCTACCCTACACTACACTACCCTACCCTACCCTACCCTACCCTGCCCTACCCTACCCTACCCTACACTACACTACCCTACCCTACCCTACCCTACCCTACACTACACTACACTACCCTACCCTACCCTACCCTACACTACACTACACTACCCTACCCTACCCTACCCTACCTTACCCTACCCTACCCTACTCTACTCTAACATACTTTACTATATCTTATCCTTCTCAGCCCTACCCTACCCTATTCTATTTTACCCACTCTATATTGTTCTACCTGAACCTTACAACATATATTAACACGCCTCCACCCCCTAGCCCTACGATAAAAAAAAACTTTTTTTTACTCTACCCTATTATAAAAAAATCGATGTTATACTATAACACTATCATAATAACGCTATGCTCACAATATTGTAATACGAATAACGCTAATATAATAAATACCACAGTACTAAAATGGCAAGTATAGTACTGAGGTATAGTACTGATAGGGCTAATTTAGTTTCTAGGCTTAAAAAAATTTAAAAGTAGAAAACAATACTCTAAACATGGATGGTTGTACTACTCATCACGTCATAAAATAGTCCAGAATACATCGTTTTGTCATAAAACTGCCCCATCATAGCATTTTAAAGTCTATTCCAGCCCTGTTAAGTACGGAATAACCCCCCCTGCTAAAAATAAAAAATTCAAAGTTCTGTCCACCTGATCCAAAAGAAAACAAACTTTAAAAAAGAAAAAACATTTAATAAACTAGATTAAACTGATAAAACACTGTCGAAAACGTTGTCTTTGTCATTGCAATGAAAAGCGAAAGCTCTCGATACAAATAAACCAGAAAGTAGGTTGTGATCTGCATAATCACTAATCAGTACAACGTTTGGGGATTATAAATGTAAAAGGCTTGGTTGATTAGTACAATATATACGTGTAATTTATTACTGTATACAAGAAGCTTTTGTAAATTAGCAATTTATTTTTTATTATCTTAAGTTGTTACCTAAAAAAATATTTTTAGTTTTTATGACCCCCCCGGTGCAAAAGTAGAAAACTAAAAACAAATAACAAAAAAATTGAGTTCTGTTTTTTACATTGATATATACATCTTATCAAAAAAAACAAAACTCTAAACATAAATAAAGATTGTTTATTGAATTGAACTACTAAACAACAGTTACTTTGCCCATGACTATGTCATGCTTACTAACCTCTCGTTATAGAAGCTCAGGAATACGTGCAATTCCCTAGAAGGAGTAACATTGGTCTGAACGAGGAAAGCAAAAAACTGACAAAAGTACCTATGCTGACTAAAAATGTCATTTTAAAAATGAGCAAAAAGCTTTTAACTTTTTTAAAAATATATTACTGGGCAAAAAAAGGTTTTCTACTCCTGTTCTAGCGAAGCTTTTGGTATTTTTAAATGCTATTAGACCACTAAAAGAAAAGAAAGGTCCAGTTAGTGAAGGAAGGTCCAGTTAGCTCGGCCCACCACCGAAATAGACCAGACCAAACAGAATTAAAAGGCACCATGCCGATACGGATCGTGCAAGCCCATGAATCGAAAAACAACATAAAAAAACAAAGACCCAGGGGCCTAGCTTTGTCTTACACCTAGACCTAAAAAGAGGCCACTAATAAGCAAGATACCCGACCTGCAACGCTCAGATTTCATTCAAAATTTTTTAATTGAAAGATCATGTAAATGTAAGATCTTATGCAAAATTCTAAGTTGCGGTTTGTGGCCAGTCTTGAGAAAATCGAGATCAAAAAACCGCGTTTTGAATTTCCCGCCAAATTGGCATAGTGTTGCAACCTTATAACTTTGTCATTTTTTGACATTTAACTATTTTTCTTTAATATAATGATAGAAAAGCTTCAAATAATGTGTGATAATGATCTTACAAAGAATCCGTATGAAAATTTTTAGCTAATTCTGAGCGGGGCAGGTTGGGTACTTTCCTTGTAAGCCTGAAGCGGTTCGAAACAAATTTCACAAAATTTTGTACAAAATCTAATGAAACCACACTTTTTAAAAATTTATGCAAATTACATTAAAAGAAAACTCAAAACGTACAAAATGAAAAATCATTTTGTTGTCCTTTTTCTTACATTTTCACCGCTGAGCGGTCGTTATTGTTTAGTTTGGCGAGTCTTGCTTCCGTAGCCTAATGTCATCGAAGAAAAAGAAGAAGAACAAGAAGGTAAGTTGTTTCTTTAGCACTACATATTTATATTATACTTCCTATTCCGATATATTCATATTTTATTTCTTATCACAATATATTCGTAGCATACTTCTATTAGGTGCCGACATAAAGAAGCCGCCATTTTTTACAGAAAATTATAGGAAAAGTATGGCGAGTTCTTTATTTCGGCACTTAATACTTAGCCATTTTTTGTATTTACTGTAGTAACAAACCCTTCTAACTCTACAGCAAGCTACTGTAACTTTTAAAACTTACATTTATGTTTTCAGGTTGATTCAAATGAATCAAAGAATTCAAAGCATAAAAAGAATCCAGAAACACCGGGTAGGTTACCTTTGTTGCAGTAACTTTTTTTCTGTAGCATTTTACTACAGGCTACTGTAATTTGAGCCACGTAGGATAAAATTTGGCTAAGGCTAGAGCTACATTTAAGACTAGTCTTAAGGTTATAGCTAAGACTAGAGATTAGACTAAAACCTTGGCTAAGGCTGAAGCTAGGGCAAAGGCTAGGGCTAGACATATCGCTGCGGCTAGGGCTAAAGATGGGACTTGAGATAGGGCAAAGGCTCTAGACTAGGGCTCTGGGCTAACGCTCTGTACTAGGGCTAGGGCTCTGGGCTAGGGCTAAGACTTGCTAACCTAATACTGTAATTTTCAGCAAACGCCAAAGAAGACAGTAAGAAAAAGAAGGTGTCGAAGCAGAAAGGAAAGGAGAAACATGGGCATCATGCATCAGCCGCTCCAGAACCTCAAAAATTCATGCCAGTATGTATGGACCCAGCACCAGCAGTAGTACAACAAAAGGATCCACCACCCCGAGCCGGATCTCCAGTCCCCAAAAAAGATGGACCAAAAGCACCAATAGTACCAAACCAGTACGAGAATCTGGCCGCTCTTGAGAACAACGAACCAACAGCACCAGCAGTGTCAAAGAAAGACGAAGCAGCCAACAAATTGCCAGAGACTGTACCAAAGAAAGAAGAACCAAAAGCTGGACCAAAAGCTCCAATAGTACCATGCGAGTATGAGAACATGGCTGCATTTGAAAATAATAAAGCAGATGCACCACACAACAATGGACCAGTACCAGGTGGGGTACCAAACAATGGACCAGTACAAGGCGGAGTACCAACCAACAACGGACCTGTACCAGGAGCACCACACAATGGCGGAGTACCAGGAGGACTACCGTACAATAGCGGTGTACCAGGTGGAGTACCACACAATGGCGGAGTATTAGGCGGAGTACCAGGCGGACCAAACTATGGCCCAATACCAACAATAGTACCAAAAGTAGATGCTCCAGCTGTACCAAAACAAGCCGAGGCAACAATAGCACCACATAAAGCTGACCCAGCCCCAGGTGGAGTACCAAAACCGGATGGAATAGTACCAGTAGCAACTATAGTACCAAGAAAACCAGAGTCAGTACCAGGCGGAGTACCAATGTTACCATCAGGTGCACCAAAACAAGCCGAAGCTACAATAATACCCCAAAAGGCCGACCCAGTACCAGCTGGAGTACCAAATAACCCTGTACCAACAATGGCACCAAGACCAAATGGAATGGTACCAACATTGGCACCGAAACCGGATGGAATAGTACCAGTACCAACAATGGCCCCAAGAAAACCGGAATCAGCACCAGGTGGCGTACCAAACAACCCCGGACCAGTACCATCAATGGCCTCAAGTAAACCGCAATCCGGTCCAGTACCAATGGCACCAAGTGCGTCACCACCGCCTGTACCAAACCAGTACGAACCTCTAGTCGACATGGACAACAATGCACCACCACCAGTACCAGGTATGGAAACAAAAAAGTGGTAGAAAGTGGCACTGAGACATACTGTAGCTTATGGATTACTGTAGAATAAAAGAAAATTTAAAATGTACTGTAATTTTATTTGAATCTGACTGTTTTGAATAAATCTTTGGTCGATTTCATTGGTTTTTGGTAAAACTTGGTTTAATGCCATTTTTAACGTTATCTTGCTAGTTAATGCCATTTTTAATCTTATGTGACACTTTTTATGTTAAATTGTCACCTAAAGTCATGTTTTAACCTATTACAACTGAAGAATTGCCTAATTAGCGATCTTTACCACGTGGGCCTCCTTAGCTCAGCGGTAGAGCGTTGGACTTTTAATCCAACGGTCAGGGGTTCGATCCCCCTAGGTGGCTTGTAACTTTTTTTGAATTTTCGAATAAAATATAGATTGTTTTTAAAATTTTAATTAATTTTAAATATTTTAAAAAGCTAATTTGTAACTTTTGTAAGGTATTCTTCGTCAGTTTAACAATTTTTCTTCAAAAACCAAAAAATTGAATTTTTCAAAAATATTTATTGAAATCAAGACAATACCAAATATCAACTTCAATATAAGATAATATAACTTTAATTGGTAAAAAAATAAATCACAATTATAAATAACAGACTGTTTTCAATCTCAATATACTATATATTACAGACAGTTTTCTAATTCACAAAATTTTTGATGAAATCCATTAACTTTATCGTATTTTACCCGCCTTTTAAAGATAAAAAATAAAAAACGAAATAATTAATGGATCCCTTTAAAAAAGACAAAAAATAGGTATTAAACAAGAGTGATTAGGTATTAATCAAGAGTAATAACCTCGTCATCGTCCTTCTTCTTCGGTACGCAAAACTTTGTCAATGGCATTTGAACATACGATTTGGTGGTCGTTTTCGGCACAAAAAACTTTGGTCGTTTAGTGACAACAGTTGATTCTGGCTTTTTCCTACTGATCAGTTTCTGATTTTGATTATTCATCGTAATTAATGGCAGTTTTTGCTCCTTTTTCCCGAATTCCGCGTTGATTTTCGTGAATTTTCGACCAAAATCCGGCTTTGCAGGCGATTTTTTGTCATTTCGACCGATTTTCGAAGACGATGCTACTGGACTTGGACGTTTTTCTGTAGCCAATGACATTGTTTCAACTGTAGCCAATCCATTTCCCTTCAACTTTTGATCGACCGGTCGTTTTCTCTTCTGAATCTGCATGAGTTTATTGGATCTGATAGTGCCTGGAGTCAATTCTGGAGCTTTTTGAAGCTTTTTCACCAGTTTTCCTAGTCCTCCTGAATATCCAACGGTGTTTTCTGAATCCGTAACAGCATTTTCATCAGCATCTTCATTAAAATCTGTTTCATTTTCAACTACTTCGACAGATTTTGAAGCACTTTTGGCTGTTTCGATATCTCCAGCCGTTACTTCTGAAGTCTTCCGTGCTTTTTCGATCAATTCTGAATCTCTCTGTGACGTACAAGGTTCTTCATAACTTAAAACATCAACTTTTAATCCCAGACCATCATTTAATGTCAAAACACCATCACTTTCTCGGTTTTTTCCATTAATTTTGGCACTTTTTCCTTTATTTTTTGCCGTTTTTCCTTGATTCTGCCAATTTCGATCGTTTACACTGGATTCTGATCGTCTTTTCTTTACTTCAATGTCAACATCATCTTCTCCATGGTTTTCTGCGTCTTCTAAGCTATACCTCTTCTTTTCCAATCCCTGGTTTGACTTGAAATTCTTCGATATTGTAGTAGGTACCAAGACTTGCCGAGCGGCTTTCTTTAATGTCTTAGAAGTGCCTTCTGAATCTGCTACAGAATTTCCTGGCTTTATTGTGTTATTCTCAGCTTCTTCTAGGTCTATAGTATCTAATATTTGCATATCTTCCATGTTTTCATCTACAACATCATCGTCTAGTATAATATCCCTGTCTTCGCTCCGTTTTCTGCCATTTTCTTTGCCATATCCATTATTTTTACTGGTTCTATGAACTAACACATCATCGTCTATTCTATCATTATCTTCTTCACCATCTTTTCTATCCCGCTTGCCTACCAAAGCTTCTTTTCTGGCTCTTTCATCTACTACAATATCCTCATCACTGTCCAGATGAATCGTCTCATTCTTGCCAATTCCAGTAAAGGTTTTCCTTCTGTTTTCAAACGATTGTCTATTGAATTTGACTTGTCTTGCCGCAAAAGGGGAGTCGGCCAGAGTAGCATCATGTACTGTCATGTTCAGGGTGGTATGGTCATGAACGACTACGGTATCCAGAGCTTGTAGTTGTTCGAATAGGGAGTCGTCTATGGTGGCTGAAATGGATTTTTATGAATAAATAGATATTCTGTTTTTTATATAAGTATTAAAATGTCATTTTTTAAAAAATTTAAAATTTCAAAAAAAATTTTTAATTTTAAAAAACCACCTTTAAAATAAAAAAATATAAAAAAAACTTACCATTCTTAGTCTCTTTTGTCATTTTTCCTTGATTTTTGCCCTTTTTTGGCGCATATCTCAAGTCGAATTGGCCTTTCGGCCGTTTCTCATCGTTCCTCCGATCTTCCCCTGCTTTATTGGGTGAGGTGAAAATAAAGTTCGGAAAATTTGATCTCTCCGTTTTTTGATTCTAAAACAATAATTATTTCATAATAATTTTAAAAAATTGCTTTTTGGCATTTTAAAAATATTCTAAATTAATTTTTTTAAAATTTTTAAAAATTTTAAAAAAAATAAAAGACCGTATTTTACAAAAAAAAGCATTTTAAAACACTTTCCATAAGTTACTTTGCAATAAAAGTCTAGTTTTAATCTCAAAAAGCCAAAAAGTTGATCTGGAGGTATGGGGAATTGAACCCCAGCCCTCTCGCATGCTAAGCGAGCGCTCTACCCCTGAGCTATACCCCCACGACTGGCAAACTTTTGAATAGCTATTAGATTATCAAGAAATCGTCGAAGAAAAGGTCGTTTTTAATAAATTTTTATATTGAAAATAACATTTTTCATCAATTTTTATAAAAAAACTGTTATCATTAATATCAACTTACTTCTTTAGGTAAATGAAGTCTCTTCTCTTTATCAGACAACATTCTCAGCTTTTCGAAGGGGTTGGCCGTCTTCTTTTGACCAGCTTTCGGGTCACAATCCCTGTTCATAAAGGCTAACTTCTTGTTTAACTTCTCTGGATCCATCGATGTTGTTGTAGGTATTGGCTGTTCTTCTGATACTTCTGCTTCTTCTACTACCGTGTCTTCTTTTTCTTGAGCTTTCTCTTTTGGAGTCCAACTGGAAATTATAATTACTATTTGGTATGAAGAATACAGTACTACCTAGTATATCGGCAGGGGTAGGGATAAGGGTAGGGATAGGGGTTTCCAAGATCAAAACTATACCTACCCCATCATAGAGCACACCATAGTATACATCTCATACGTCAGTGCCTCTTCCAATCGTTCTTGCCCCAATTTGGCAAAGAATTGTTTCAAGTCGTGTGACACTTCTCGACTTTTCGCAATTTCATCTGATTTGGCACGTTTCTCCGTTACCAACGTTCTGCATTTGAATATCCTTCTAAAAATGTAAAACCGCAATAACTTTGTTTCCACAGTTTACATTTAAAAGTCCTTGCCACTTAATGTTTTGTAAAAAAAATTCTTGCGACTTTTTGTTTTGTAAAGAAAGTTCTTGCAATTTTTTGATTTGTTAAGAAAGTCCTTGCGATTTCTTGTCTTGTAAAGAAAGTTTTTGCCGTTTTGTAGTTTGTAAAGTAAGTTCTTTCCATTTTATGTTTTGTAAAGAAAGTTTTTGCCATTTATCAATTTGTAAAAAAAGTTTTTGCCATTTATCAATTTGTAAAGAAAGTTTTTGCCATTTATTGTTTTGTAAAGAAAGTTTTTGCCATTTTTTGCTTTGTACAGAAAGTTCTTGCCATTTCTAGCCTAAAAACGTAAAACTTTGATTATCCGCGGTCAGCGGATGACACGTTTTACGATGAATAGTGTTTTTTGCCATTCTTATTTTTTTTGAAAAAAAAATTCTTTCCAAAACTTTTTAAGTGAAATACCCATTAATCAACGTATTTTACCTCGCAGCAATGTCGTATGCCATTTTGATGTCGAGTTCCGGTTCGTGTCGCGGTTTCAGTCGTTTTTCGGCGACTTTTTTGAAAAAGTTTCGACAAACGGTAAGTTTTTGTTGCGCTTGTTGCACATTGTTTTGTTTGATTGCCATTTCTTCATGTAGGTTTTGTTCCAAGGATTTATTGCTTTGTAGTCGAGATTCGGCACTTTTAACCGAATCTTCTAGATTCTGAAAAGTTTAATATGAAAATATTGCTTGCAAGACTTAAAGTGACTTATTAGTTAGTTCTAATACTTTAGGGGTAAGAGGTAGGGAGTGAAAGTAAAGAAAATGGCATATAAGACTTCAGTATCTTTAACTAGTACTCATTTTGATACTGTATGGCACAAAAAGATCCTATTTTAACATTTTATAAAGCTTTTAAAAAGTCTTGTCGTTTTTTATTACAAAAAAACTTATAAATAAACGACAAGACTTTAATACCGCTCAAATAGTACCATTTTTTAGCCATAAAGGACCAAAACTAAAAACAAATAAGTACATTACTTCAAGTATTAATAACTATAGCACCTTTTGGTATAATAAAAATGTAATTACCTTAATAATCTTGTTATACTTGGCAGTATGATCGGTCAAAAGCTTCCTCTTGGCTGCCACTTCTTTTTCCAATTTCGCCTTTTTTGTGTATAACTCGGCCTAAAAATAAGTTTATATTACTGTAAGAAACACTTACAGATAACAACTAAAAAATATTTATCTACCAAGTTTTTGACCCTCCTCATTCCAAAATTTTTTTTACCCCGTACTCAAAAAAAATATTTTTAAAACTCCTCCTAGAAGAAAGTTTTTTCTTTTTGCTGTCAGCCCTTTACATTTTGTAATACCCCATCCCTCCCCACCCTCACAAAAAAAATTTTTACCCCTTCTAAAATTTTTTTGCGCTTTTACCTATCAATCCAACTTTTGAATCCCACACACTCCAAATAATCATTTTTGACCAACCGTCCTTTCCTCGTCCCCAAAAAAATGTTTAATCCTCTCAAAAAAATGTAGCCCCCCCCAACCCCCCCCTCAAAAAATTTTTACCCTCCCCAAAAAGTTGTATTTTTAATACTCCCGCTTCCTTTCCTAATACCAAAAACTTACATTCTGAATGAGTGGTTTAGAAGCATAAGAAACCTTGATCAGCCCTCTGGCCGTGTAGTCTGTTCGACAGAAGGGGCAAGAGTTGTTACTGCCATTTTGTCTGACTTGAGCCCATTGATTGAGACATCTTTCACAAAACAAATGACCACATTCTCGAATCAGCACTGGGTTCGACAATTTTTCGATACAAATACCGCATTTGTACCTCATGGCATTCTGAAATTTTTGAAAGTGTAATAAATTTCAAAATGTTTTTTTAATTTAACACGTAAATTTTTTAAAAATTCAAAAAAAAACTTTTAAATAACAAGAAAAAGACGAAAATTACCAAATACAATCAAGACAACGTATTTGACCACACTAAAACTATAAAAAAAAGTCTTGTCGTTTTTCCTCGTGCAAAAGCATATATATTGGCGACAAAACTTTTTAACACCCTACCAAAAAATTATTTTATAAAAAATTGAAAGAATAAAAAATTCTAGCCATATAAAAAAGATCAAAAAAATACAAAACCAGCTCTGATTAACAAAATCTACATCGAGAAATGGCATTTTTAGCGCGTTATAAACTGGAAATGAGCATTTTCTTGCCCTCTTTCTTTTCCGTCTCTTCACTTTAGCGATCTCTCTTCTCCGAAAAAAGGAAATGGTAAGGTTATAGAGATACAATAAAGTCAACTCTCGTTATAGTCAGCCATCTTAAAACGTTAAAACCTTTCAAAACTTCTACCGAAAAAACTGCTTGATTTAAAAAAATGGCGCTTTTTCCATTTTCTTTTGATTCAAAAAGAATGGCGCGTTTATTATCTACTGCTGATTCAAAAAGAATGGCGCATTTCCATTTTCTATTGATTCAAAAAGAATGGCGCGTTTATTATCTACTGCTGATTCAAAAAGAATAGCGCTTTTTCCATTTTCTCCTGCTGCAAAAAGAGCGGCGCTTTTTCCATTTGCTCTTGATTCAAAAAGAATGGCGTGTTTTCAAATTTCACAATATTTCAAAAAAAAATTCAAAGAAAAATTTAAAAATAGTAAGAAGACCAAAACTTTTTGACCAAAACCAACTCCCAAATTCAAAATTTTAGAATGTTTTATTCAAAAATGTGAAATTATACATTTCAAACGTAAAATATGAATTGAAAATGAAAAAAAAACAATATTCTAAGAGTTATGTGTGAGATCCGACGATAAATTGACAATTTTAAGTAAAACCAAGAGGAGAAACAACCAAAAAAAGGGAAGGAGGCTGAAGAAGAAGAGAGTTAAATACGATCAATCAATAGAGGTTTTTGTTTGGCAAACAAGTAATCTTACTGTAACTTTTCAAATAACTCAGAAATTAATATTTTGAGAGAAGAATGTACTGTAACTTAAAAATTACAGTAACACAAATTTTTCAAAAAATTTGCTTTGAAACACAGTAACCTAATTAAACATCGGCAAATTTTCAAAAAAAAATTTTCAAAAATACAGTAATCTAGGAAAATGTACAGTATCTTTAGCACAGTAACGTATATTACTACAAATAGCACTGTACCCTATACTACTACAAATAGCACAGTAGCCTATATTACTAAAAATAACACAGTAACCTATAATAACACAAACTTGCGCTTTTAGCCAGCTGTGCCCCAAGAATAGGATTGAACGCAAAACGGGGCATTAAGAATGTTCCGTGCCTTACCTGGCACAAGGCGTTTCAGTTCTGTACCCTGCCATTTGCCCCACCCAACAGCTCTACAAAAACAGAAAAGAAACCCAAATAATTTAAAAAAGTTACAGTAAGATTAGAAAAGTTAATGTGAATATACTGTGCATTATTAAAATTTCCAAAAAATTCTCAAAATTTTCAAAACTTCAACTCAAAGATGACCAACACAATGCTAAATTACACTGTAAAATCAAATAAAACTTGAAAAAAATGTAAAAGTATCATCAAGGCTTGGCTAAAGTAGCTAGACCATCAATGTAGCTTGAAGGTAATATCCATGGTGATATTGTAAGTATGTTACGAAGCCAATGTACATTGGTATAGAATGGATTAGATGATCAAGCTAATGTATTAACTGCAGCTTGATAACCATCATAATACTGGCATTGTAGTTAATGTATAAGTTAGATGATCCAGCCAGTGTCGTTACTGTACCTAGTTAGACGTCAAAGTAGTTACGGTAGAATTTGCTATTGGTATTTGAGTTAGACGATCAAGTTAGTGCACTTAATGTATGAGTTACATGATCAATTCGATGTAGGTACTGTATAGATTAGATGACCAAGTCAATGTAGTTACTGCTTAGTTGTGAGAGAATTCCTGTAGATGACATATGGCTCCCATTCATCCGATTCTTCATAGTTTTCTGGAGGTTTTGCGTGTTGATCCAGGTAGGTGATACTGAAAAAAAGCCAAAATTACGTTTCCATCCATTTTTGAATCTAAAATCATACCTCCTATAAACTTTATAATCAAAAATGTAATGTTGTCTCAAATTATCGACCAATATTTAGTTATTCTTTCAAGTTACTGACTAAAATATCAATTTACAGCTCTATTTTTCACTAAAAATCCCCTTTTACTTCCAATTTCTAATGAAACTCCCCCTTTTCTTTCAATCTCCATCAACTTTTAAGCCAAAAATTCACTTCCTCCACAAACTTCTTGTCCCCTACCCTCATTCTCTCACCCTCACTTACACTGCAGTCCTATCAACCTTCAATAGTTTGGCTGAAAACTCGCTTAAAACCTCCAAAAACGGTAGAGATTGTGTTCTGCCACCTCTTTTCTGAGCTTCAGTGCCCAAGGCATGTCTTATGCCCAGTTGATGTACATATGCAACAGCTTCTCGAGATTTCGTGGCATCTGGAAACAGTTGAGAAAACTTCTTAGCTAGTTCGTGGACCGAGCCTAGGGCATATTCACGTTCTTCTTCTGGTGCGTTCAAGGCTATGGCGTCTTCGTAGGCGTTTATCACTGCCTGAAATTGATGTTTTAGATAACTTTTTAGGTAAAAATTACTGTGGAAATGTAAAAATGAATGGTTCTTGTACTGCTACAATATCCTATTTCCAAAAATTTTAAAATTTCATTTTTTCAAAAAAAAACATTTTGTCACCCCTGCCTGGGCTGTCCTGACCCCTACCCAAGTTAAAAATGCTCTTTCTAATGTTAAAACACCTTAATTTTTTAAAATTCTTCAAAGTTTTATTTTTTTTAATATTATTTTTTCTAAAAAATTTTTACCCCCCCCCCCCCACCTTTCTCAACAAAAACCCCTCCCATACCCACCTGAATCAACGCCTTAGCTGTCAACAATCGATCCAACTCCTTAGCCTTCTGAATCACCGCCTTTAGAATGTCTCCATAGTCATCGATGAATCTAACATAATACTTTACTATCGATGCCATTTCGTATATGGGGATGACGCCATAGATGATGAGTTTGCAGTACTGTCCCAGTACTATCCTCCTTTTGCACGTTAGGTCGATCTGGTTTTCTTGGTCCATTTGTTCTTCATCGTGTCTTGAATGGAAGACATTTGAGATTACAAATGAGTGAATGGTGTTTATGAAAGGGGTGTCTATTTCTACTTCAATGTCTTCGACGCGAGGTACTTCTTCCGAGATTTTGTGGTTGAAGAAGATCAGCATGTCACAGAGGCAGGAAAAGGCCTGAAAATGAAATTTTTGTTACCAAAAAAGTAATTTCAAGCATAAAAATGCCACAATATTACCTAAAATTTCTTTTTATTACCTAAAAACCGTCATTTTTAAGCCTAAAAACCATTTTCCATTCCACTAAAAACAAAGTTTTTAATTTCAAAACCTCAAATTTTCAAAAACTCACGTTCTCCACGCCTTTCACCCCCTTGGCCAAGATATCTCTCGTTATTGCAATGAACTGATCTCTTTGTGTTTTGATCCTGTTGTGATCGTTTTTTGAAGTTCTCAAGCTTGCGGCATTGTTTAGTCGATTGATTAGATGGTAGAATAACAACTGTACTGAGCTTTCCACAATCTCGGCCGACTTTAGGGCGTTCTGACTGTCCAGGACGGCTACGGTTAGGTCCCATGGGTCGAATGGAAGGTCGAATGACCTAAAATTTGATAATAACTTCGGATCATTCTTATTTGAACAGCGTGATAAAACGGTTGAAGAGTAAAAAATGAAAAAAACAAAACACCATTCCACGCCACTATCAAGCCATACAATATCAAAGCCTTTTTCAACCCCCCCCCCCCATTAGCAACGTCCTTCCCTCTAATGTAAAATATGATATCTCCTATAAATTCAATCCACTTACAACTGTAATGCAGCCAACTTCTTCACACTAACCATCAGATCTGCCCTGTCATCCTCATCCAACGTGCCATTTCTTTGCAGACTCTGAGCGACATAAGTAAACTGAGTAACCACCTGATCAATCAGTCTTCCTCTGATCGTTTCCGTTTTGGCATTAGCACTATTGTGTTTTGAAATCCGAGCAAACACCTCCACGATCTTCTTTAAAACCTCATTTTTCTGATTTTTCTCAAAAATTTCGGCCAATTTCTCGACCAATTCGACCAGTAATTGCTCTCGTCGTGCTGTAAAGTACAAATCCAACTCGATATAGCTACATAAGTCAAGTAAGGGTTCGACTTTGTCCGCTTCCACAATATATTTGTTGAGTAGGCGTGGTAGTAACTCAATGAAATCGTCGCTGAACCTCTGTTTGTCTTCTTTCATTTGTTGTAGTTGATCTCGTTGATGAACGGCAGACTTTTTCGTCCCTCGACCGGTCGGTATTGTGTCAGTTAGGCTTTGGTTCACCGAGCAGATGAGGATTTCGATTAAGTGGGCAGGTGAGACTGAAAAATGAATTTTTAAAGAAAATTTTTAAAAAATTAGTAAAAATTATTTTAAAAAAATTTAGAAAATATAGTATTCTAAGCCATTTTTTAACTAAAATTAAAATTTTAGGTAACAAATTAAAATCAATTAAATCTTTTTCATAACAAATCTAAACTTGAAATTTTTAAACTTTTTAAACATCAAAATACAGCCCTTTTTCTTTTCTAAAACCCAAATTTTAAGTAACAAACAACATATTTTTCAAAAAAAATCCCCAAAAACCACTTTTTGAATAAAAAAACCAAAAAAAAGTACAAGTCTACCCTCAAAACTTACTCTCCTCATCATCTCCCAACAGCATCTCCCCCATTGTCTTCCAATCTTTCACCGCCGGTGTGACTTCGATCAGAGCGTCCACGAGGTAGGCAGCATGATCGTGAACCTCGCCTTCTGTGAAGAATTGTAAAAGATTTTTGACTACTCTCTTCGGCTCCAAGTTGCTGAATAATCTAGCGTCTAGGAACTTGGCAGCTGCTTGTGCTAAGGCTCTGTTGGCACAGTAGACGACTTCGTACACTGTGACACAGTCTTCGATTCGAAGGAGCTCGGGAAAGGCTCTGAAATGTTGCAAATTGTCATTTATATACAAAATTAACTTTTTGGAAAATCCTCTTTTTGCTAAACTACTTCAATATCTTTCGTTTTCATATCAAAACGTGCCTTAAAACACCAAAAACGACCCTGTAAGACAACAAAAACCCCTCCAAACATAAAAGTTGACCTCTACAAAACCCCACAATCTAAAAATCAACCCCTATGAACCCCTCAAAACCTACTTATTAATATCAGTAATCAAAGTCACCGCCCCAACCGCCACATCTCTGTCCTTATCCATGACCATCGTGATGACTCGTTCCTTAAACTTGCTCGCAAACAACTCCAATCGATCCCTATATGACTTATGCTCAAACAGAGGTATCAGACAGTTGATGCACCTTTGTCTCACTTCCGAATTCTTATCGTACAGTAGCCATCCAACATATTTTAAGTAACTGTCGTCGAGAAAGAGCTGCGGGTACACCAACATCCATTTACCCAATTCACTAATGCAAACACATCTCACATCACTGATAATGTCACGGTACCTGTGGGCAAAGACATGTTTGAACACGTACTGAATCATGATCGATAGCTCTGACACTTTTCGCTCGATATCAGCTTTTTGTTTGATTAGGGCTTCCATGGCATCACTGTTAGCATGCTGCTTTATCTTTAGCTTTTCGGTCTCGATTTGGCGGTTGTTCTTGTCTTTGAGGCCTACTAGTTCTACTACAACATCCACCAGAGCTGAGGAGAACTTCATAGCTAAAAAAGGTTAAAATTAATGTTATTTAGGTAACAAAATTAGAAAAGAATCCAAACTGAGATTAATTTAAAATGAAAAATAAGAAACATAGCTAAATTTTTAATAGCATTGTTACACTCAAACTAAAAATTATAAAAAATTTCAATCTTTCTGCATCAAGCAGCTTTCTCCATTAAAAATGTACACATACCTGCAAAAGTAGCTGTATGCCGAAAGTTCCTAACCGGCGAAGAGGCAAAGCCTGTTAACAGTTGCATTACATAGTCTGTGAACCCATCGTCGTATATAATACTCTGCTTAATTTTACCAACAAAGATCTGAAAGTTCAAAATTATATTATTCTTGCTATTGTAGCCAAATTTTTTAAAATTTTCGTTATCAGTTACGAACATACCATAATAAAGTCTCCAAACAAACTCCTAAATCTTTTCCATTGATTTCCCGTGCGTACCAATGGATAGTCACCACAATCGTCCTCAAATTGATCCGACAAGTTATCAACAATTTGTCTAAAACAAAATTTTTTAAAAATCAGTCAAAAATATATTAACTACAACTTTTATAACTTACGCCAAACTAATCAAAAACAACTCTTTATCATATAATAACATTAGGAATCTGTTTTAAATTCATAAAGCTATAAAAATTTTTTAAATCTTACTTAAAATCCATAGACCTGACCATGACAGTAGTAACAGCACCTTTACACCCTGTGGCATTGATTAAAAATTGTAAAAACTTGACAGTTGCTTCATCTTGATCTCTTTCGTATGTTTCAATCCATCCTTCAATAATTTTCTAAAACACGGTTTTGTTAGAAAGAAAAATTGACATTAAAAGTTATATTAGACCTCAACATAAATAGCCAAAAAACTAAAAATATAAAATACAAATAAATTTGCAGAAAACATAGAGTAGATTATAGTTTATACTCTTACATTAAATTTGTCCCCTTTCATCAAAGCATTGAACATATCCGACTCAACAAAGTTTTGAGCAGCATTTTGAGCATTTGGAGGTCTTCGAACCGGAGTTTTTGGTTTTCCTTTAGGTCGTCCACGCTTAGTTGGTGTTGTTATTAACTAAAATAATATGAATTAAGCTCCTTCAACTTTTCATGACCATCTTCAAGCTTTTTAAGTTTTAAAACAGTCGTTTTTAGATATTGTATCAGAAAAAAACATACGTTGGCAGACAGTATAATGTGATAAATACCTAAAAATCAAAAAAAAAACCAAAATATACCTCATCAACATAATCGTCATCCACCACACGTCTTTTACGTTCTCTTAGCCGCATACCAGAGCTTGGAGACTTTGTGGGCGAGCTGCTCTGTGCTTCACTTGTGTCCATCTCTGACATTTTTCTAAAAATAATCATAAAACCTTTAAAAACTTCAAAATATAAAAATTGTTAGATACAAAATTATCATAACACCTTTATGTTCATTATACAAGCCCTTAACCTTCAAAAAAACACCCTTAATTTACAATAAAACCCACCAAAACATTGACAAAACGCTATTTCAAAGTCCAAAACACATTACACTTTAAAATTATTTACTTATAATGCAAAAACTATATTACTAATTGCGTATTCTTGATGTACTACACGCAATTTACTCTCGAATGTCAGTCAAGAAAAAAATATAAAAAATTTTTAACGCGCTAAAATAAAATCGCGCCAAATTGCGGCGGAAAGCCAAAACTTTTTGGGTTCCGCACCGAAACGTTGATTTTGCCAAATAACGTGGAGTAAAAATATAGTTTTAATCAAGAAATCTTCAAGTAAACTTGTAAGACATTTTACTTAATTTATTTGTGTTTATCTTGGCCACAACTTTGGCCAATTAATCTGTCAAACTGGTAAGTTATTTATATTTTAGCCTTTGATGTTATAGTAGAGGTTTTTGTGTGGTAATATTTTAATTCCTTTGTTTTAGTCGGCAATCTTCAGTCTCCAAGGTCTTTTAAGCGTTTTCTTGCTGCTGATTTGCACTTGTGCTTACATTCGGTCAATTTATCCGAGAATCATCGATTACAAGAAGGAAGGGTAAGTGTTTTTTTTTGGTTTTGGTGTTTAGGTAACAGAACTGGCTGACTTTGCCTTTCTATAGCTTGGACAGCATCCTATAAAAAACGAGGTTACAGTCATATTGTTTTAGAATTGGAAGTGTGTTTTGGAAGTGTGCCAGGATTGGTGAACGTTTGAGTTTGTGGGTCGCTGCTGGTTGTTTTTTGATGGCCGCAAGTCTACTATTCTTCTAACTGAAATATTTTAAAATTTTTAACACAATCATTAAAATGTCAATAAAGCCAGGGAAACTCGAAATTGTTCTGGAGGATTCAACAAAGAAAGTTCGAATTGGTCGGGTCAAGAAGATAGCTCCTCCAAAAGCTGTCAATCCTCATCATATTTATGTTAATCAGTAAGGGTTTGGTTTTTCTTGTTTAAATGTTTTTGGATTTAATTGGGATTTGTATGGGATTTAGGAGTTATTTTGCATTTTAGATTCAAAAATCATAATTTATATTGTTTTAGCCACACCAAGCTAATGTCGACTTTCAAGAAGGCTGAAAAGCTTTTGAACACGAAGCTGGACTATGTTATTCTTCATGCCACATCCGTGTCCATTCCGTATGCCATAAGAGTTGCTAATTTGTTAAAAGAGTCAATGAAAGGGTCAGTAACGGCTGATATTCGGACTGGAACTGTTAAAGTAAGTTCTAAAGAGCTTGTTTTAGTTATAACAAGGTATAACTTGTAGTAAAACAATGAAAAAGATTTTTATTTGTTTACCTTCAAAAATTTTTGGACAGCTTTACAGAACTCTCGAGTTTTATCCTATAGCATAGCATGCTATATTTTCCTTTGCTTATGCTATAAATGTGAACTTTTATAAAATTTTCGTAATTTAGGTAACAGACCGTGATGAAACCGAGCCAACAGAACCTAAAGACACCAACCGTTCAATTTCTCTTGTTAGCATTCGCATCGCACGTGTACTTTAATTTTATAGTATGAATAAATTATTTTCTATATTAATCATGGTCTTAACTGTAAAACAATGTAAAACAAAACCATAACCAAAAATATAAATTCGTATCACAAAAACCGAAAATAGATCAATATTAAGATCATTTAATGCCAGAATGTTAAAATAAGTATAAATAAGGTTATTGAGCGACCGATTTGTCTCGCATTTCTGGTCGATAACGGAACCCTTGATCTTTTAATTCACCAACAACTTCACGGCTCAACGTTCCCGAAACCGATACTGCGTAAAGGCCTGGTTTACGTGTCTTGATGCCCTGAAATAAAAAAATTAAAATAAATGCCAAAATCGGTGTAAATTTCAATAGTGTGCCGAAAATAGAAATATTATTGGTAAAGACATCAAAAAGCAAAATAACATAGAGAAACAAGTAAAACAAAAAGTATTATATATGAAAATAGTAAACAAGAATACAACTAAACTATTATAAACTGTCGTACCTGCCATTTGCACACCCAAGAATCAGTAGGATCAGTTACAGCGATGAATCCATCAAAGTTCGAACTAAAGCAATATAAATTAAGCTAAATCTTCTTAAAATCAGCTTAAAACCCTTCTTAAAACAACAACATTGCCTTCAATAAACCTTTCTCCTCCTGTGTCAATACACTTTCGTTGCTAAAAGCCAAAACCAACAAGGAAAACAATAACTTACCTTGTACATTCATCGACTTTTTCAGCGTTGTCTTTCAAACCGAGTAGGCCTTCACAATTGTCACATCCTTGCCGTTCAAACATTTCAGCTGATTTTATAATGGAACACAACAAGCATGCGCGAAGACCTCGAAGATCTGTTGGGATATGAGCGTCTGAGAGCATTTTGGTCGAGATGTGGGTACTATAACATATAAATTAATGTAAAGCAAAGGTAAAGGCTATAAATGAACATAAAATTGTGCCAAATAGGTTAAAGTGTATAAAGCTTGATATAATTTTTAAAAAAAAGAGAAAACCTCATTTTACAAAAAAAATGCTCAAAAAAATAATAATTTTGGAGAAAGACTTGACTCATTTCACAGAATAGGTCAACTGTCTCTTTAAACCTGTAAAGCCGAATAAAACGCAATTTTAATGTGATTTAAAATGACGTCATCAAAAGAACGATATCAAATAAGTTTATTAAACACCATTGCACATGATATATAAATCTGGATAACAACTGATAACAATATAATTTGATTTTTTAATAAAATAATTTTAGGTAATTCCAGGTGAAGAAATCGTTTTCTAACATAAGCCGTTTAGAGTAAACTGGCTACAAAATTATTAAAAAATAATACAAAAATCATTTTAATATCTTAAAACATGATAATTTAAATATAAGGACAGTTATAGATGAAATATTTTGATATTAAACTCTGCGGAAGAGTGTAGCAACATCCATACTTATGGGGAACTTTCTGCGAAGGTATTCTTCAGTGACGTTTTCCAACAAACAAAACGGCTTTGCTCCTTTAGGAAGCTTGATGTGTGATGGCATGCCTTTGAGACGTTCTTCTGGAGTTGGCTAAAATTTTAGGTATTAATGATGTGTAGGATAATATAACTGAAAGGAATGGATGTAAAACAAAATGAATCATAGCTGAAATTAACAGAAATAGTTGCAAAAACATAGTTAAACGTTTTCGATGAAAAAACGTTACTTTCTCGGCGAATAAAAACTTTTTTCACCATGTAGTTACCTAAAAATCAAGCAAAAAACCGAAAAATCTTACACTTTTGGGCCGTTCAACTGGTTTTGGCCTCATTTGAGCAGCGGCCATTCTACTTTTCAGTTTTTCCACATATGCTCTTCCATGCCTGTCAGTTACCCATTTTTGTGCAACAGGTCTTTTGATGGGATTCAGCTTGAAAACCGTCGTATCTTGTGGATATTTGCCAATCTTAATCTCCGGTTTGAGGACCTTGGTGTCTGAATTGTCAAAGTTGTTGATAGTTGCGTCCAATTTACTTGTAGAGGTTTTGGAGTCAAAAATGGAATCTGGAAGTGATGGTTCATTTAAATTGACACTTTTATTCAGGTTAACATTGTCAGATGAAGATTGACGTGGCGATGAAGCTGTAGATTGACTGGCGCCCAATTTTGATAAAGAATCTTCCGGTTTTGAAAAGTTATCTCCTATCATCAAAAATGAATCCTGAGGCCTTGCATATAAATCATTTGGCTTTGCAAAGGTATCTTCTAGCTTCGAAAATGAATCCAGTGCCTTTACAAACAAATCTCCTGCCTTCGATAAAGCTTGATAAGAATATAAATCATTTTCAAACATATCCTCTGGAAACCCCATTTCCATATAACCATCAGGCTTTTCATCATCTGAATCCCTGAAATTTAAAGGTTACAATGAGCTTAATGACTAACTTTATATTAAAAATATAAATAAACCTACATTCTCCACATTTTGGCTATCAAAATTAATTCAAATTTGTTATAAAATGCCAAAAAATTGCGAAAAATCTCGCGATTTTTTGTTTCAAAATCGAGAATATTTAAGATACTGATTTTCGTTGTGGGACCAAATTGATACCTGGATGTTTGAAGAAAAACAAGGCATGATTTGAGAAATAAAGGCTTAAACGGATTGTAATTTTCTTTTTGAACATTTTAAGCTATGTTTTTGTTTCAAATATTATATTTAAAATTTCAGCGTTTTTCTCGAAATTTTAAAAATTGATTTTTTAATTTGGCGCCAATTGTCGAAGTGACTTTCAGTTGATCGACGTATTTTTTAGGTCAAAAAATTTTACAAAATTTTATTCTTTATTTTCAATTTTTTATTAGTCCATAAATACATTAATATAATGTTAAAATAGTCTTGGCCTAGTTACTTATAAAAAATGCTACAGTTCAAATTTATGCTATTTTAAGTTTTACGGTTTTTATTATATCTCCTAGCTGCATTAGTACATCTAAAACAATATACTAATCCAAAAATAATGTCCTTCGGTCACTATGCATAAATCATAATGTATACGTGGCCTCATTTGCATCGGATTGGCTGGCAACCATCCCAAATCCAACAAGTGGACATTTAAACGGTTTTCAGTCATATTTCAAAGCTGATGGGCAGGAGAGATAAAACGATATAATTGTTATTCTTACATTCGAAAAAGATTTTTTTGGTTTGAAAGGCTATGTTCTACAGGCTTTTGTCTTTTTTTTAATTTATGGTTTATGAGGTTTAACATTTGAATATCATACTGCAGTATACCGTGTGCATCATATTGTAATCAAATGTTAGAAAGAATGGTATTTTACAGTAAAAATTTTTGTTCTTATCACAACTTTGTTTTATGTTATACAGTACTCTCTCTATATAAGCAACCTGAAGAGACCGACATTTTGTTTTTACTATAAGGGTGATGTTTTTACAGAGTGATTTTTAGTGCAAATTTACTTGGAGGTGCTAAGAGTACGATTTTTGCGGCCCCCGCCCCCAGGCCAAAACACCCCGCCCGGCACTGTACAGATGGTTAACTATATAGGGAGACCACCGTATATACATATATACTACTGTCTGTTTAGAAAAGATTGTTATTCAAATAAGTTTGGCACCCGTGGGGGTATAGCTCAGAAGTAGGGCGCTCGCTTAGCATGCGAGAGGGCTGGAGTTCAATTCCCTATACCTGCAGATCAATTTTTTGGATTTTCAATATTAAAAATGAACTTTTTTTGTAAAATACGCCAAAAAATTTTAACTAATTCCTAAAATCCTCCAATTCAATTTTCTAAAATTTAAAATAAAAAATTTTTTTTTAAAAAAAATATGTAGTTTTTACTTTTTTTTGTAAAATACGGTCCCGTAAATTATGTCTAGAAAATTTTTTTTAAAATTTGAATTGAAATAATGTCTATGTAAATGTAGGAACACACTCATGTTCGTGAACGTCAAATAATGAGCAAACACTAAAAAGTAATTACTTTCCCAGCTTTGTCCATTATAATTGAAAAAAGTCAATTTTCGTTATTACCTTCGATATAAAAAGGCATAGTATACTATTAATAAAGCTTTTACATGGCTTTTTTTCATTTTTATTTTTTTTTAGTTTTTGAATTTGAAAAAACATGGGTTTTGTAAATTTTTGGTCAAAAAGTCCATAGAAAATCACAAACTTTAACTCAATTTTAAAATATTTTTAAATTTTGTGGAGGTAGGCTTTTTCGGTCAAAAAGTTTAAAGAAATTTAAAATTTTAGGGTTTACGGTCAAAAAGTTCATGGAAAAATTGAAATTTTAAGCTAAATTTTAACATTTTTTTCAAAATTTTTAATTTTTTTAGATTTTTGTATTTTGGTCCAAAAATGCGTAAAATATAAAAATTTAAAGTTTTTTGGGTCAAAAAGTTTGTAGAAAAACAAAATTTTGAACTGTATTTCGAAATTTTTTCTAATTTTAATTTTTTTTAAATTTTGTATTTTTAATCGAAAAGTTTATATAAAATTGAAGATTTCGGGCTTTTGTGGTCAAAAAGTTCATAGAAACTCGAAATAACGAGGTTAATTTTGAAATTGCAACGCGATTTTTTTATATTTAAAATTTTTCATTCTTGTTCAAAAAATTTATAGAAAGCCAAAATTTCAAACAAAGTTTAAAATTTTGATAAGCTTTGCCATATAGTAATGTCAAAACCTGTTTGGCATTATAATGCCATCGGCTCGTGTCGCTAGCCAAATTAGTTATGCAGGAAGTGTAACACTAGAGCCGAAAACAAATCTAGGTGCACAAACATTGCATTCTACAACAATTTTTTTTTGGTTTTAAATTAGGTTTTTGAGGTCATTTTTTTATTTTTTTTATTTTATGTTTTGAGTTTTTTAAAAATGACTTTTTGGGCTTATATACTCTGCTCTTACCACTAGCCAGTTAAATAAAGAAGTTAGCTGGGCTTAAAAAAAGGAAAGTGACAGGGTCTATTTGGGATATTTGAAAAAAAAACTTTCTGAGTAATTAGTATTATTATATTTGTATTTTACAATAAAATATTATTTTAAATTTTAAAAATCTAAAAAATTAAAAAACAGTTTTTTTGTAAGAAGATAAGGTTTTTTAAGTAACAAGAATATAACTTTAAGAAAAAGGTATCTTTTGAATGTTGTCTGTAACTTATTTTACGATAAAAGTTTATTTATAATTTTAAAAATTCAAAAAGTTGAACTGGAGGTATGGGGAATTGAACCCCAGCCCTCTCGCATGCTAAGCGAGCGCTCTACCCCTGAGCTATACCCCCACGGCCATTTTCCAGCTTTATTTGTTTACCAAATCGTTTGAACTTTAATTGTAAGGCAATAATATGCCAAAACTAATCTAAAAACTATTATTTTAGGAAAAAAAATGTTGGAATGAAAGAATTTGCTGTGATTTAAAGGAAAACTAGTGTAATAACCATCAATGTCGGTGAAATGTTGTCAAATGGAGACTTGTTCGTCAAAATGACCAGAATATTGTTAGTGGCCAATCATGCTGTTCATAATGTGTCCAAACATGGTCGGTTTAAAATTTTTTATTAAATTTAAAAAAGTTTTCGATTTTAATCAAACATAAAAATAGTGGGTCTGTAAAGAAAGTTATTGTCACTTTTTGTTTTGTAAAAAAAGTTCTTGCTATTTTATGCATTGTAAAGAAAGTTCTTGCCATTTTATGTTTTGTAAATAAAGTTCTTGCTACTTTTTGTTTTTTAAAGAAAGTTCTTGCCATTTTTTGCTTTTTAAAGAAAGTATTTACCATTTTTTTGTTTTGTAAACAAAGTTTATTTTTATTTTAAAAACTTTTTTCTGGCAATTTTTAACCCTTAAAACGGCAAATTTGCTTTGTGCAGCCTGCGGGTGACAAGTTGTACGATTAATGCTGACTTTTTTACAGTGTCTTTGATGTTTTACGGTTGTGTAAAGAAAATTTTTTGCCGTTTATGGTTTGTAAAGAAAGTTTTTTTCCATTTTTTTTTAAATTTTTTAATTAAATTTTAAAATTTTGTAAACAAAGTTTCTTCCAAATTTCAAAAAAAAATCAAAATTTAAAATCCGTAGTAATGTCAAGACAGCTATTGTAAGGCAACAACAAAGCCTTCGTCATGTACATACGAAATGTATCATATATTGCCGGAGGACATTTGCGTGTGAAACTTTGCACTTTGAAAGTGTTATGCTCAAATATTATCCTTCATTTGGCCGAGGATTATTTTTACTTTCTTACACGCAATTCCAAAATGGAAGTCTTTTTTAAATTTCATTTTTTTAAAAATTTTTTAGAAATATTTTTGGAAGGAAAGTTATTGCGGTTTGATTATTTGGGTTTTTTGGGTTTTGTAAACAAAGTTCTTGCTATTTCTTGTTTTGTAAAGAAAGGTCTTGCCATTTTTAGTGTTGTAAAGAAATTTCTTGCTATTTTTAGTGTTGTAAAGAAAGTTCTTGCTATTTTTTTATTTTATTTGCTAAAAAATGTGTTTTAAATTCTGCAGGCAGCGAATGACAAGTTATACGATGAAATGGACCTTTTGGACTATTTCGCAAATTCTTCTTCTGTAAATAAAGGTCTTGCCATTTCTTGTTTTGTAAAGAATGTTTTCCCTATTTTCTCTTTGTAAAGAAAGTTCTTGTTACTTTATGTTCTGTAAAGAAAGTTCTTTCCATTGTTTGCTTTGTAAACAAAGCTCTTTGCCATGTTTTGTTCTGTAAATAAAGTTCTTGCCATTTTTTCTACTCATACAGCCATTTTTTGTAAAATTTTGGAAAAAGCTGACTCAATTTCGAAAAGGAATTGCATTTTCTGATTTACCGCCGTTTGAAGAAAAAACAAGATAAGCGGTCTTGAATGGTCCCTGGAGGGTCGGGACGGTCATTTTTTGAGAAACTGCTTTTCCTTCTTTCTGGACTTTGACCTACAATGAAACGTCATGGTGATCCTGTAAATTTATATTATCCTGGAGATATATTTTGAGCGAAAAAAGTAGGGGTTTTCCAACTTTTTTGTATATTTTTTCTTTTTTTTCAGTTTTTATAATGACTGAGTACCTACCACACACGTACTTTACAAAAAAAGCATTTTTAAAATAGTGTGTATACTTTAATTTACCATAAAAGCCTATTTTTAATCTCAAAAAGCTGATCTGGAGGTATGGGGAATTGAACCCCAGCCCTCTCGCATGCTAAGCGAGCGCTCTACCCCTGAGCTATACCCCCACGGCTGTTCGTTGGCTTTGTTTGTTTACCAAATGGTTCGGGCTTTGTTTGTAACTCTATAATATGACAAACTAATCTAAAAACTAAAAATTTAGGTAACAAAATAAACTAGAATTAAAATTTTAAAGCTAATTTGAAGTAGACCTACTATAATATCACAGATTTTGATGAAAAATGAAATTCTTGTTAGAAAAGTTTAATTTCTTTCAAATTCCCTCGAAATCA